CACCCAACTCGCTCAGCTGCTCGCCGGCTCGACGGCTCGGCACGTGTTCAAATTACCGTGAAGACGCTTAGGGGTGAATTCTCCAAAAACAACAACTAAACGACATTCAAATTGAGTGAGTGAATTAAAAATTCTAGCAATCACGAGCACGGAGAGCGCCACTTTCCCACTGGAGAGATTCTGGCACTCTCTCAGGAAAAGGTATTTGTTGCAAAATGCGAGCATACGTTCGAGCGTTTGCTTCCTTCCTGCCTTTGTTGGCTTTTTTTTTGGGGTTTGTTTGCCTCAGTTCGAATTACCGTTATGTGCGTGTGTGAGTGTGTGCGTGAGAGGTAAAAGGTTGCTGCCAGAGTGTGTGTGTGAGAGGTCACGGGGATCGTGGCTGGGAGAACTTTTTTTGGGATATAAGTTTCAGCTGGAGACAGTGGGTCAAGGTTAACAGAGAATTGATTTTTGGAAATGGAAGATTTGAATTAAAGGTATAATTTATAAAAATTAATGTCCTATCAGAGGATTGACATTCCTTTTAAAAATTAAAATAAATTATTAGTCTTTCTTATCCTCCTAGAAATAAGCCCCTTTTTGATTTCAAGATCTAAAACCCATCTAGCATTCAAAAGGTTACCATTTCATTATCCCAAAACCACAGTTCCTATGAGAGTTCGAACCTCCTAGAAAGGTGAACACCACTCAGACAAAAACACACCCCACCCCGAGAGTAAACCTCGCTTTCGCTACATAATTTCAACAATATGCGTGCATTGAGCAGCGTGCAGCCCACTCAGCTCACCACCCACCCCCCGTCGCCCAGCCACTACCCATTACCGGCTACCCCCCAACGCCTCCCAACCCACCGCAATCGGTGAAAACGAAATCAGACATAAAAACATTACATTTCAAACCCTTATTTTACACACAAACACACACACATGCCGTAAAAAAAGGAAGAAACCGAACGGAGAACTGAAACTGAAGCAGAGAATCCGCCGGTGGCAAAGGACTCAAGGACGTGCGGCGTACTGGGGAGAGTTCGGCTGCCTTCGACAAGGGATGCAAGAGCAATGCCAGATATTAACCCTCCTATGCATGCAGTTGTGTGTGTGAGAGCTGGCCCAGGGGTGTGTGTGTGTGTGTTGGTCCTTTGTGCTTGTCAATCCCGTCGTGCCAAAACAAACGCAACGAACGGCGGGCTCTTCGCCGATTAGAAGAAGAACCATCCGTGAGTGCAACGCGACCGGAGGCCACGCGCTCCGTCCGTCCATCGATTCCGCGTATTTCAAGCTTCTAACTGATAACCTTATCGCGGGCTTAATAATCAATTATATGGAGACTTCTCCCAGATGAGTGTCTTTTGAGAAATTACCAAGAAATCTGAATCTGTGACCAACAGTGAGGCCAACATTTTCGCCATCCGCCGGGTAGTCTTTGTTATTGTTTGCTCCCAAAGCTGCTGCTTTCCGAGAAGTACATGTAGTTCTTTGTGTTTGGTTTTTCCTGAGAGTGTGTGTCTCTTGGCTCCGTGTTTGTGTTTTTGTGAGTCAGCGCAAATGGCAGTGCGCATCTTTGTCTAATCAAAAAAAAAAAAGATACAAAGATACAATATAGGAAGAAAAATAAAACCCAAGGCCTTTCATAGAATCCAAGTACCGGTGAAAGCGGCGCCAAAATCTCGGCCCGTGTCTTGTGCTTTTTTTTTTGGATTTTCTTTCGGCAGAAACAATGAACAATTCGCTTGATAATTTGCATGCCGATAGCGATAGTCGAAATCACTCGAGCCACAGTAATAATAACAGCAACAACAACAACACCACAAACACCAACGAAAGCCTCCAAAACGATGGGGACTCGGACGAGGAGGTCATCGAGGGCATGGCGCTGCTGGAGGGCAACTATCAAGTGCTGCGCCAGTGGGTGCCACCCGCCCCCAACTATTGGGATGCGCCGCCCAAGGCCATCATCAAGTCGGCTGAAGTCAGGTAAACAAACAAGCAACATGCAACATTGCTGCAACATTGGCAGTCTGTTTGGTTAGACTATTTATTTGGAATCTAAAAAAACACCTCCTAACTATAATAAATTGCTACAAATTCTTTCAAGTTAGAAGTATGGGCTTAGTGGATATGTATTGCAACAGCAACATGCTTATGCAATTAAGAGTGCCATTGCTGCCGCCACATTTGGCGATTGCCTTCAATAAGTTTTAATTAAGTGCTTCGGGTTTGATTTGACAGCGCATTCCATTTTGCTGCTCACAAATTGCACAGCAATTAAATCGAATCAGCTTTTCGAGGTTCGAGTCTGGGTCCCGATCTAACGGTCCAAGGCAGCGCCGCACTTGCCGCACTAGCCGCCACATTGCCACGTTTTTCAATAAAAGTGCAGTTATTTGTAACGCACTTTTATGGCCACACATGCGATATGTAAGCTGCATGAAACAGGCCGGGGCGGTCCAACTACCCGAACCTGTCCCATTGCCCCTCCTGTCCTCCTCTATCACCCTCCCCTACCCCTTAGATGGAAATCTCAATGGATTTGGCCTCGGCGCTCCGCAAATCATTTTCGCGTTTTAACAGCTTGCAATTCATTCAATAAAATTTTGATTATTATGGGCGTCATCAAATGCGACGAGCAACATTTGCATGTTGATCGGCAACTAACCGAAGCAAATAAATACGTTTTATTATGTTAGATACCCTGTTTAAATGGGTTATAGCGGGTATATTAGTGCCTAAACTAATTGGTTAAAGTATAAACCTTTAGAGGCTTAGATACTCTGAGGTTGATTACTACCATCCCCCAAAATATGAATACCATTTGGGGGTAAAGACTACTTCTAAAGGGTTATTATTCATTTTTATTCACTCTTAAAAAAATATCTGCTAAGGACTTATTTAAGGTTACTTTTATTAACTTTACATTAATTTTAAATATCAAATGAAAGATGCCCTAGTGGCATAGGTTAATGCGAAGGGTATATCCTTATAGCCTAACATTATTGTTTAAAATATAAACTCATTAAAGCCTTTGCTACCCTGAGGTTGGTCATAACAATGGGCCAAAACATGAGTTATTTTTGGGTATAGCTTAGGGTCATTTGGGTCATTATTTGGATCATTATTAATTTTCATTCATTCTCTGCATCTGCCAGATACTATCTGGTCCTACTTTCATAATCTTTATAGCCATTTCTAAGCCACCTTGTAAGCGACAAGAATTCAACCTTTGGATTTGCAGAAAGGCTTGCCTCAGCACTCTCTTGACTTCGAGGAATCTATATGCCGTTTTGCATTGATAGTTTGCCAGCCGATTATACAGATTTATTTGTCTGCCTATCTATCCGTCCGTTTGCCATCTGTCCGGGTGTCTGGCCTCACTCAACGAGCGCCATCCGTCGGCGTCTGGGCCCCGGAGTTGCTGCTGCTGCCGCTGTTGTCTCACTGTCAACACCAAGTGGTATGCAACATGCAGCTGGAACAAGTGCCGTGAAAGGGGCAAGGCGGTGGGGTGGCGGTGGCGAACTGTCTTCGGCGGAGTCGCCAGCCATCGTTGACAACTGCAGCATGAGTCTGCGGAATTGAGTTGCAGTCGCCGGAGCAGTCGCTGCATATTTGCTGTTGGGCTGCCTGTTGCTGGTAAATAATAAATGCGTTGCCTGAGTGCATGCGAAATGGAAAATCAAAATGCAAACGCTGCCAGATTTTTGCTCTGCCACTGCCACTGCCACTGCTGGATGCACTTGAAGCGGCAGCAACAACAATGCCTCCCCGCTCCGGTCCGGCTTCGTTTTGTTTTCGCCAGCCGGCCCGTTAAGTGCATCCAAGTTGCAAAGGAACAGAAGCCAGGGAATATGAGGAATCTGAGGCAGCTGAGGCAGCGAGTTTCGCGTTGCACGGCATTGTTGCAAGTATCTTTTGCACGTTCTCAATATGCATTTCTGAATTACAATATGTTGATTGCATTTCGCCGGCTCAGGCACCGTCACCGGCATCGGTACTGTCACGTAGCTGGAACACATGCACTCCAGGGCTTCCAGCCGCCATAATAATGATGAGTATTGAAATTGCCAACAATGCCAGTGCATTTCCGTACCCCAGCTCCCCAATGAGCCCACTATCAGCTCCCACCCGGCTTCCTCAGCTGCGGTTAGTTCGGAGCCTTCTTTGTTCTTGGCCAGGATGCCTCCCCTGAAGTGGTTCTGGCTAAATTACTTTATATTTTTCGTATTGTTCGTTGCCAGGGTAATTGATATGGCTCTTTTTCACTCGGCTGTGCTCGGTGTTTGTCCCTTTTGTTGAAAGAAAAGTTTGCCAAGCGAAAAACCTCCTTTAACTTCCATGGCTTTGGGGTTGGGGGTCAGGGTCCGGGTCGGGGGAAACCCCAAGCCACATGAAAGCCTCGACCCCATAGGAAACCGCAGATGACATAATTAATGAGCCTTTGAACCGTCTATAAATAAGGAATTGTTTATACCCTGGTTGTTGTTAATTTTGCACATGACTCCCAAATAAATCAATTTTATATTTCCCCTTTTTCTCGTTTTAGGTGAGTTGATACACGACATCCACGACAGTTCCCTTCTCTTTGCTGACGGTGCCAGTCACAATGGCAACATCAACATCAACAGCAACATCAACAACGAAACAGCCAACTCCTTCCAGCTCCGTATTTTGAATTGTGTGAAGGCGGCACGTCAATGTCATTGAGTCTCAAGGCAAATGGCTGGAGAAATTCCAGGCCGAACAACGAAAGCCCGAGGCAGCAACTACTTGGCCGAAAATTACGATGACTTGTCACACGAACCAACTTTTTCTATTACCATTATAGGTTATTTCTGTACTGTTCGGCGGGGATTGTTAGCAAATTAGCACACCAGTCAGTCGCATAAATTGCAATTTGCTTTCGATGTAGGATAGGCTTTCAAGGGTTGTTCCTATGATACTCTACCCAAGACTTCAACTACCTTACTCCACTATTTTCTTTAAAGAAATCCCAATACCACAAAAGTTGCCAAACAAGCAGTTGCTTTTATGTTCAAGAAATAAAGTATGGTGTGTCCTAGGAAGGCACCACTTCCGTGCTCTCAATCACTGAGACTATGTCCTCGGCCATGTTGCACAGATGCGAGTAGGTCTGGATGTAGAGTGAGTCCCGGAAGTACTTGGAGTGGTACAACTTGCGCATCACCGCCGCCCGGATCTTCGTCTCGTCCAAGTCCGCTTCGCCAATGATCTCGAGCAGCTTCTCCCGGTCGATGGCCGTAATTGGGGCTGGGCGAGGCTGCTCGTTGTTGTCCTCATCGCCGCCTTCCTCTTCCTCAGAGTCTCCCAGCAGGCTGGCGTAGAATCTCTGCAGCTCCGGCTTGAAGAAGGAGTCCTCCACGTTGAACATTAACTCCTCCCACTCGGCAATACCGTTGCAGATAACGCCACGCACGTAGATGAACCGGGAGCGCTGCTTCTCTTCCACTCGCTGGGAGGTCGTGTCCAGGGAGTCGGCGGGTCCGAGCAGCGGAGCTAGGTACTCCGTAAACTCCGCAAACAGTTTCTCTCGTTCCACCACACCTTCCACCCGCAGGACGTACTCCTTGATGGTGGTCAGTCTAAAATCCCACAAGGGCTCACGCGGCTTCTTGAGGCGCATGTGGAATTTCCGGAGCATCTCCAGGTCATCGAACCGGGTGCAATTGTAGCCCGGATTGAGGCTGTTGAACGCCTCTCGATCGTCCAAGGGTCGCTCATAAGGGCAGCAGGCGGGTGGAGCCACCACCAGGGGCACCAGCTTGCTGAGGTGCATGGTCAGCTGGTCGACGGCCACGGCATCTGACTTGCACACGCAGGCACATTGGGCCTCCAGCAGCTTGGCCATGTAGTCTGCCGGAGGAGTGCAGCGTCCGTGGAAACGCAGCAGCAGCGACTCTTGCCGGCTGCAGAAGATTCGGGGCTCGACGTGCAGCAGCCACAGCTCCACGGCCATGCCAACCTAGAGGCAAAAGACAATTAAAAGTTATGGGTTTACTGTGGAGCTGGAGTACCCACCTTGCGTGGCTGGTAGAGGACCACCAAGCTGCGGGACTCCCCATAGGCAAGTCGGAAGCCTTCCAGGTCGAACAGGAACTCGTTATCGCGGGCCAGTAGCAAGGATCCACGGTTGTAAAAGTAGGTGCTTTGCTTCCAGGAGAAGGTCAGGGTCTGCTGCCCGATGTTGGTCAATTGCAAGACAGCTTTTTTTTGCCGCCGAAAAGGGTCGCAGGAGAAGCGGGTCACGATTTCGTAGCACTCGTTGATGCCGCCGGTGGCGGAGTCACCCGACAGGTAGTCCACTCCATTGACCTGCAGCCCCAGTTCCGGGATTACCGGGGCACAAACGACAGTCTCCGTCGAGTACTCCTCGGTATTCTCGAGGGACCCGTAGGTGCACTCCTCGGAACAGATCGGAGGACTTTCAGTGTTGGTGATAGTGTGGAGAGACTCTTCTCCTACTAGAGTTGTACGGGGAGCAGTTATGAGTTTGGAGACATTAGTACCGGTGACCTGCAAGTTGTCCAGGTCTGGAAAAAACTCGAGCACATTCTGAATGGCATAGAAGCGACCCTGAAGACGCTCGTCGAGGAACTCCGATTGTAGCCATCCGGGGGGAGCTTTTTGTTCCAAGGCCTCCCTGCCCAGAAGCTCCCGCTTGGTTACATTGGGCAGCCCAATGATCTCGACGTTCTTGTAGCCAACCATCTCCGGCTTTGGTTTGGTGGCCGCCACGCCGAGCGTTATCTCGCAGGTGCACGGATCCTGCAAATCGGCCAGCTTGGCGACTGGAGGCGCCTCTATCTTTTCGGGTTCCATGCGGTCCGCGTAATCCAGCACCCGCTTGACCGTCTGCTCATCACGATGTTCCAGGGTGGCGCGCCGGTTGAACAGCACCTCACTGGCCATCTTGCCTGTCCTCTGCTGCACGCGCAGTTGCATCTTCTTCCGCTCCAGCAACACCTGTAACATAAGGATCAGGTAAGGTCTTGTAATCCAACCTCCCACTACTCACCTCCTTCCAATATCGGAGCCGTTTGTCAATGTGTGGTTCGCATTCGGCCTGCCGGAACTTCATGGCGTTTACGTGGCAGGAGGAAGAGGTCTCGGGAAAGTCGCCACGGCGCTCCGCAAAGATCTGGTTGATGATATCCTCCACCATTCGCGACGAGTACTTACCCATGGGCGACTCGGTCTTCACTTCTCGTGCTTTCTCAGGGGCCGGAGTTCCACCTCCGGCTGACGAGGTGGATGGCAGAGACGCCAGATTGGCCATCGTGAACTTGGAGATGTCTGACCCGGCAGCCATATAGTTAAATTTCCGGTTCACCATGGATGCCCCCGTTTGCGAGTTCTCCGAATGTTGAACTTGCTTTGATGGCTTGGTTGCCTCTGGATCCGAATCTATTGCATCATCCGGAATATCCATTTTGCAGGATTCTCCGCTTATCGGCTGAAATGTTTGGTACGAAAAAATATATGTACAAGTCCTTGGAGCAGCTTCACTTTGTTGCCAAATAACAATTTTAAACGGACAGACAAGTAGTTTCTGAGCCAACTTTGTAGTGATAGATTACCCTTTTGAAGCAATCTGGTTGGGTGACTAGGACGCAGATTTTGGAAACATTCTGTACTAGAAATGAGATCTTTAGGTTAATTATAATACAATCAATCGAGTTTTATTGTGGTTGAATGTTGCAGAATTAAACAGTTTAGAAAAATATATGAACATTTTCAACATATTTGTTGAAAATTCGAGCTCAGAGAAGAGTGGTACTCTCAATGACCGACACGATGTCCTCGGCGACGTCGCAGAGCAGGCTGTAGGTGTGCATGTAGAGCGCATCCCGCAGGTACTTGCTGGTCTTGAGTCGCTTGGAGACCGTCGCCGCGATATCTTCCTCTTCGTTGGACGACTTGGCTTCGTTAAAAAACGGGATTATTTTACCGATGATCTCCGGCGAAGTCTGCGAATCTTGTGTGATCTCTTCGTCATTCAGTAGCCTGTCCGGGCGACCCCTCCGCTCGTCTAGGACCCGCAGAAGCTCCAGCTTGAAGAACTGGTCGTCCAGGCCCAAGGCCATCTTCTCCCACTCGTCGACGGCACTGCAGATGGTGCCGCGGACGTAGATGAAGCAGGAGCGTTCCCGTTCCGGGTTGTGATCCAGTTTGGCCAGGGCCTCGCAGCGGTTGCACTTTATTGGCTCCAGCATCCTAATCATCTGGAGGTGCAGGTGCTCGCGCATGAGGCGGTTCTCCTGCTTGCTAATGAGTTTGCGCAAGCTATCCAGGCTCAGGTCCCAGGGTCGATCGCGAGGCTTCTTGGCCACGGAATAGAGGGCCTTGAGGGCCTCCAGGTCCTCGTAGCGCTCGCAGCGATGGTTCAAGTTCTGGGCATTGAAGACCTCACGTTCGTCGAGTGCCCGTTCGTAGGGGCACAGTAGTGTCGGGTTTTCGATGATCGGAGCCAGGGTGGCGTGCAAGTTTAGCAATTCCCGGGCCTGTTGCTCCTGCTGCTTGTTGACCGGCGCCTGCTTGTGCTTTTCGAGGCGGCGTTTGTATACTTCCGGCATGGTGCACAGGCCCTTTATGATGACTTCCAGGCGGCGGCCGTTGCAGAACGGCGTCCGCACAATGCTCAAAGAATAGCGCAGAGTGTAGAGTCCCACGTGCTGCGGCTGGAACATCACCCGGACAATACGCCGCTCCAGTGGCTCCAAAATGAACTCTCTGCGTTCGAAGATCAGCTCGGAATTCATAGGAACCCGATCAGTGCGAATACGATTTTTTGGCTGCCAGTGAACGTTTACCAATTTCTTGCTCAGATTCTGTTAAAAAAAAGAGTTATAACCTCTTGGTTTGGGATGTACTCTGACTATAAGTTACCTGGATGTCCAGCAAAGTCTTGAGCACTCGCTGGTGCGGGTCGCATTTGAGCTCCAGTTGGATGTTCTTGCCGGTGGTTTTGTTTGAATTATCATAATCGTAAAGTATACCGTTTATCATAACTGCCTCGATGTCCTGATACGGATCCAAATCATTTACCTCCACGTTGTAAGCCGGTTTCTCCTTGGGGGCGGGCGCAATTTCCGGTTCCTTGGAAAGGCGCTCCTCCTCGCCCTCGAAGAGGGTTGGCTCGAGCTCATGGTCAGTTTCGTCCTCCTCCTCTTCCACGGTGGAGCCGCCGGAGAGAGGCAGAATATCAGCCTCCGCGAGCTTGGTGATCATCGGGGTCTCGGAAATTGGAACTGTGTAGGTGGGAATCACTTGCAGCTTATGGATATCCGGCGCAAACTCCAGCACACGTTGGATGGAACCCTTCTGGTCCTCGAGGTGTTTGCTCAGCACCTCGGAGCGTTGCCACTGACTCTCGGGAGCATCGGGGGGTACGTTTATGGAAGTAATCTCCTTCTGGGTCACCTGTGGCAATCCGACGAACTCCACCTCCTGTATTTTCGGTTTGGCCAAGAAAAGCTCTTTAATTTCACAGCAAGTCTCTGGATCGTTTCGCGCCTTAAGCGAGCGCAACATGGTTTTCTCCTTAACTAGGTCGGCGGGGCGCGAGCGGTCGGCGGTGTCAAGGATGCGAAGGATCATCTTCTTGCTGGCGTCGTCTATGGTCGTCGGACGGTTAAAAAGCACATCTTCTGCCCGCTTGCCGGTTTGGCGCTCGATGCGCTCCTGGATTCTCTGGCGCTGGTTCAGCACGCGGTTCCAGTTGCGCAGGCGGGGGTCCATGTCCAAGGACGTATCCATTTTTTCCTTTTTAAGAATTGACGGCTTTGATATCACCGAGTTGCCATACCTTAAATATGAGTAATCCCCCGAGGTGGAGCTCTGCTTCAGATTAAAGTTTTCCAGGCGCAGGACGTCTGCCAAGATCTCCTCCATGGTCTTTGTGCCCATGTGGTGCAGCACGTTCGGCTCGTCATCGTCAAGGTCCATGTTCATGTAGTTTTCCTGGGTATCTACAGCCGACGCATCCACCCTCGATGTATTCCTTCCTGTATTCCGTTTGGAGGTACTGGCCGCCGTTCCTCTGCCAATCATTTTTGCGTTTTAAGGTTCGTAGTTCACGGAAGTGTTATCGTTCAGGTGTGCGACCAATATTGTCAATATTGTATTTTTGTGTTTTAGTGTAGAATTGATTTTATTTTTACAAGTCAGAAACTTTTTAAACTCACTGCTCTGTTTTTGGAATGAAGTTTACGAAGTTACAGTTGAAACTCTACAATAATTCTTCATACAAAATACTTCAACACACAGTTACCCTTGAATTTGTTCAAAAATTATAAAATGAACCCTAGTCTTGCGAATCTGTTGGTCGGTGAGGGCTCTGCCAAAGAGGATCAGCATCCTGGTGACTTGGCCAATGACCTCATCGACGATTTGCTGAAGAAGCAGCCCAAAGAAGGCCACTACGATTCGGACTCACGGGATGAGTCCTGCCCGGCGAGGAGGAGAAGCAAGTGCAGCGTGGATCGTCGACTCGAGTACTGGAAGGACATGCTCCTCCAAAGACGAACCCTGCAGGAGAAGCTGCGCGCCCAGACAGGCAGGGGACCAGCCCAAATGCTTCACAACCGTCCTCAGAGACCTGAAGACTTTCTGGAGATAGTGGGCACAGCTCAAGAAACACCTGGCAGCGACATGACAGAGCAAGAGATAGTTCATTTTTCACGTCCTGGTAAATACATCCTCCCACACTGTTGGTGACTTTTTGCATCTTATGGTGAGGTTAGTTCTTCACTTGACGTTTACCCAGATACCATCTGTGGCTGTGTTCCCAGCCTACACGAGATGAAAGTCCCCGATAAGATCTTCCGCGGCTTCAGTAACTTGGCCTTGGATCTCAATAGTAGCAGTTCCATAGCCAGCGCTGAGCCTCGCCTAACTCGGAAGCGGTCCGGATCCAAGGCGACGATGCCCGACTCCACTCAGCCTTACTCCATGACCAATAAGTGCGGAGACAGCTGTGTATTACAATGCGTTCGCATCAACGGAATACACTACCGACCAGGCACGCCGGAGTTCTCGCCGATCGTGGAGCGCACCTTCACCTGCCATCCCTTCCAACGTCACGTTCGCACAGTGGTCCGCATTGAGAACAGTGGTCGGGTGATGCTGCGATGCTGCTGGCGGCGAGTCAACTTCTTCTCCAACAATGGAACACTTCTTAAGGACGATTCCGAAAACTTTATTTTCGACACCCAATGCTTCCAGCTCCACATCGGCGAAACCAGAGACGTGACGATACTCTACCAGCCCCGGAAGGTGTCCATTGTCAAGATGCGATGGCTGCTTTGCACCCAACCTGGTATTTTTTTCCGCCGACCTTATGGACTCACTCTAAATGTCCATGGACGTTGCACCCCGTCCATGCAGTATCTGGAGCGCCTGGCAGTTGAGAAGACCCGAGCCCGGCTCTTGTCGGTGGAGGAAAGTCTTTCGCTGAAACAAGACGAGCAGGCGCAGGAGAGGCCTGTGCTGTGCCCGTATGTCCGTGAGATTGAGGAACGGGAGGTTTTCAACATCCTGAATCAGAGGTATTTCTGCCAAACCTATGAAGATCTGGAGAGGCTCCATGCCTTCTTTGAGAAGATAACCAGATCATCAAACTTATGGGACCTCAGCGTGGAATGCCTCTTCCACTATGTGTTTGCTGTGCGGGATGTAGAGGCGCGAATCCAACTATCCGAGGAACTAAATACACTGCTGGATGGGCTAAGGAATCCTCTGGAACTTCCGCTGGCGGAGTCAGACTCCCCGAGGCTGCTGCAGAAGCGGGGCAATTCAGGATTTTTGTACGTCCGAGGACTTCTTGCCAGTCGCCTGGACGAATGGGAGCAACTGGCAATGGAGCTGGAGAAAAAGTCAGTCGATTACATGTACTTCATCAAATCCATATATACGTTGTTGTACGGAATGATTGGCAACACAGTGGAAGATATAGTGTCCATCATCGAATCCCTGCAGGAATCTAGTGAGATGTAGGAAAAGTAACTCAAGTAGCATCCATTAAACATTTTGGTTACAATTTCTACTAGAATTCGATTGGTCAGAGAAAGTTTAAGTAACTTTCTAATCACCAGGTCTTGTTAATCAATTATCCTTACACAAAACAAAAAGCAACATAGTTTTCGACGAGCGAGTAAGCAAATATAAATACAAATACATAATAAACACACAAGATACACAAGATGAGTTCACTAAGAAGGGACCACATTAGGGCTTCGGAGCACCTGCCCATGTCGCGGCACCGCTCCTGGCTATACTCCTTTATGAATTCGGTGATGCCGAATCGTTTCATCGAGTCGCACAGAAATGAAATGGATATGGGGTCCACCTCCACGGTGGAGGACTTCGCGAGAACCAACGCCCTCAAAGAGGTGACGGCGCGGGACACCAAGGCAATAGTGACCGACATTGTGAAGGAAATCTTTGACCACAATGCAGGCCACGCCTCAGTGTCCTCCTCGCAATGCTCACTGCAGAACCACCTGATGGATTCCCTGGACATGGATCCTCGTCTCAAGCTGTGGTACGACACCCTCCAGGACCGCGCACTCGTCCAGGCCAAGATTCAGCGGCAGCTGGGTCGCCGACCCGACGAGATGCTGATCAACCTGCCCACCACAGTGGGGGCCCGGGACAAGGGCACTGTCACCCGCATCCTTGATCTCGCCGACCGCATGAATCCCACCGCGCTGGTACAGAGGAAGCCCGTCGTGACCCCCGAGCAGCCCGACGCTCAGCAGTGCCTGCCGCCGCTTCAGGAGACGCTGCCGCGCGCCGAGCGGACCGGGAAAGTCCGGCCGGAGATCAGCGCCCTGACCCGGGCCACCAAGCAGGAGATCATGGGCAAGCCCCTTCAGCCAAAGAAGAATCGCACCCAGTGGCTTCAGTCGAAGGTCTTGGATGAGCGGATCGAACGCAAGAGCGAGGACATTAAACGCGTAATCGACCACTTTCCGGAGACGGAGGACCTGGAGGTGGTGGGCTCGTGCATGCAGGAAGTACTGTTGCGCCACGAGTCCCGCGGGAATGATGATGAGCCTGATATCGAAAGACTCTCCGCGTCGTCCATGTACAGTGTTAGCAGTAGCAGCCAGCTTCCAGTACCCGAGGAGCGAAGGGTTCAATTAGACCTCCAGCCAACTGAAATTTTTCCTGTGAAAGGAGCCGCTGTCAAGATCAACGACGTGCTCTACTACAACAGCGGCCGACGATGTCCGCAGCCAGAGGTGGCGTCACTGACCTTCGAGTGCCACCCGTACCAGAACATGGTCAAGGACTTGCTGCGCATCGAGAACGTGGGTCGCCTGGTGGTAACATGCCACTGGAACATGCAGGATACGGGAAAGCGCGTCAGCCAGGCTTTCGCGCCGGTTTATGCCCTTGACGCTTTCCTCATGGGGGATACGGCGTTCACTATATTTCCGGGCGAGGTGCATGTCTGTCGAGTCATGTACCGACCACGTGAGTGCCACATGTTGCGCCTTCGCTACGAGCTTCGCATCTTCCCCAATGTCCTGGGCACGCTGCGCAGCTGCTTTGTGGTCCGGCTGTGTGGCAAGTGTGTGCCGTCGCCGGTGTACACCGGCAAGATGAAAAGTATCAAGGAAAAAGTGATCGCCAAGTCCAAGAAGAAGATGACCGATACCCTGGCCCAGGAGCATGCCTCATTGGTACCGCTAATACAGCCGCACGAGGTAGTGTGTCCCTACGAGCGGGTCTTCGACGAGCGGGAGGTCTTCAACGCCCAGAACCCTGGTTACCGATGCGAGCGGTTCGACGACCTTGAAACCCTGAAGGCTCTCTACCAGAAACTGAAAAAGCCACGGGAGCCTGCCTGGGATCTGCGTCTGGAGACCATCAGGCAGGTGATCCTGCGACTGCCCCAGCCCAGCGAGAGGGAGCTGCACTTCGAAGAGCTAATCGAGGTAGAGGAGGCCATCAAAGGAGGCGGGATAGGTTCTGCTGGAGATGGGGATATGCTTTCGCCCGCCCGCTTCGGACGAAGCACTGAACGGGACCGATCCCGGTTCATCTATGTGCGCGGCTGCATCGGCAACGGAATCCAGGAGTGGGAGGAGATGATGGCTGCCATGGAGGTCAGTGCCCTCAAGCTGGAAGTCACACAATTTCAGGCCAAGCTGCTGGAAGCCGAAGCAAATGAGGGGGAGGACGGCGAGGAGCCTGCGGAGCCGAAGCCCTGGATGCAGAGGCTGCGCCAAGAGGACCCCGTCCGGTATCTGCTCAAAAGGTTGCGCTCCCGGAAGGCCTACAGGGATTCACTGTACATGCAGACCTATTCGCACCTGTGCGACCTGGCCGAGAACGTGGTGTCAGTCATCGAAAGCACACAATACGTTTAAAGTTAGTTGCTGCCAAATTCCGTGATTGTCTTAAGCTCCAAATTTGAAGTTTGCCAAAGTGATAAAGGAAATACAGAAAACACATAACCCCAGGGACGGTCTATTGATTCGGAAATCTATTAGTCCGAACCGGGGGGCCAGAAAACTATTTTTGGTTTGTGTTTTTTTTTCTTTTGCCGTCTTGGGACACACCTGTGCCTGTCATATTAAGGGAACTTTTCCCATTACTAGAGGCCGTTATGAGCCAACAAAATTGCCCATTTTCCAGGACTTCTCGACCACGCCCCTCACCGCCGCCCTACTTAATGGCGCGCAAATGTCGGCCGGAAAAGTTTGAGCTTTGTCTTTGACTTCGATTTCTGCTAGTTTGCATTGATTTGATGACACTTTGGGGGTTATTTTATGCCACTAATAAACGACCCCTGAGTTGGCGTGTCAAAAAGTTGTCGGCACACCGGGCTGCTCTTTTTCCCCCCCCCCCCCATTTCGGGGGTGGCGTTCCAAATGTGGCGGCAAACGAGGCCATTATGCCTGCAATTAGCCAAATTGATTTTCAGATAGCGTCAACACCAACCCCAAACCCCAATCCCCAGTCCCCAGAACATGTTTATTTCGGAAACTATTTTTGTTTTCTAACTAAAAGTCTTAAAATTGTTGTTTTCTTTGCAGGTAAGCTGAAAAAAAAACGCATCTTCTATGTTAAGTACACGCATCTGTGGGTAAGTCTTTGGAAGTACCGGCACCTCGGGAGCTTCACACGCCGCCGATCCACAAATCATAAATCATATACATACCACATACACATTATGTGCCTGCCTCATGTGGCATCTCTGGCAGTGCAACAAAAAGATGCAGCATTTCCGCTCGCACTCTCGGGTCCAGCGTCTAATTAGCCCACGACCGCACTGGCTGCTGCTAATGTGCGGCCTAATGATCTCCAGCCCGTTCGCATGGTGACCAACTAACATGGTCAATGGCAATTAGCCTTGAACCCCCCATGCGGCTAACTCGGTTGACACTTTATGGCTAAGAGGCCGTGAAACACGCATCTGTCATATGCGACACTAAAGGGGTCTATCTTGCCAATTAGGTCAGCTTAGGGATTACAGGTAAAAGTATCTGCTACTTTTAGACAAATCCTATTTTATAGTTACCTTTTTAGAGAACATGAAGATTATCATTTGTAAATGTCAGTCTTTTGAATAGGTTTTTGGGATGTAATAAGACTAGTTTACCTTTTACTATAATATATTACTAATCTTATCTTCCCTCTTCAACTTTATCTCAAAGAAAACCTTTCTCCCATGCGATATTGTGCCTTACAAAAAAAGCCTTGCATACTTTTAGGCTTTTAATAAAGCCTAAACCTCTGCTTCATCGAACCACCTCGAGCATGTTGGCCACTTCCATGTGGATCGCATGTGGATGGGTTTTAAGAAGAGCGAGCGAGTCGAAATATCGAGGCTCCCACTCGCACACAACTCTGCCCCAAGCCCCAACATGTGGATCCAACATGTATGAGCCACCCGAGTGTGGCCATCACAAAGTGAGAAAAAAGATCACATTGGGAACCACATTCAAGTTTTAAAAGTTTTCGAGATTCCGGCGCGATCGGTTGGGCTTACACCTGTTACCTGCTGTTACCTGTGTTTTGCCGTCGATGTCGATACCGTGCATCGTGTTAACTTGCACCAGATCTGTCAATTATCGTTTCCTCTCCCCCGAACCGGTGCAAAGTGCCCAGAAACCAAAATCCCCAGCCAACAAAAGGCTTCAAATAATCCAGTTTGTTGGTTAATCCAGTGCAGTGTAATCAGTTTAAAAAAAGTGCTCAAAATTAATGTAATAACTTGCGATTCATAGGCTGAAACCATTCTTATGGATACACATGGATACTCCAGCTCGCCTCCAGATCAAGATACAGATACAGATACTTTCTGAGAGACAGCCATAGGTGGGGCGACAATAAAAATGCATTGAAAATCAAATGAAATTCGAGACCGATTTGATATGCGGGGCACAGGCCGACGACAGGCGTTGTTGTCTCTCGGCTGCCCTAGCCCAATATTTTTATGGGCCTATCGAGTGGCCAAGAACCGAGCGGCCAACGGGGGCCGGGGGGCAAACGAAAGACTTGAGCAACGAACTCGGTTCGCCGACAGATACCAGATAGTAGCCGTCATAGACTTATGCACATGCCTTGATTTATTTAGATGCGCCGAGTCTTATTCGCGCACTTTCACCAGCCACATACTTCACATCTTAAGACAGCATCGCGGAATGAAGTCATAACCAAATAAGCTTACAACTTGCCCCGCAACACATAAAACATGGCTACATGACTTGTCTGGCCATAAAAACACTTGGCCAAAAGCCCCAAAATAATTTGATTACCGAGCATACAGCTCCTCCGCAACCCGGCTTTCTCCTCCGCCGCTTGATCCAATTAGCCACGGCAATAGATCCACTCCAGAGATCCGACCAGAGCCAGCTGCCACCCACAACCAGTCGGTTGGTCGGTTGGATTGTAATGAAATTGACTTACATGGTCTCCAATGTGTCAACAATGGCTTGTTAGCAATTGCAGAGCCGAGGTGTGTGGGCCGCGGACATGGGTTGCCAACTGAGAAACACCTTATTGACAACAGACATTTGACTTCTTGGCCCACTGCTGGCACACATGTGGGCTGGGAATCGAATTTATCTTTGATTTCTAATTGCCTGACATACCAATTTAAATTTAATGCTCTTGAGATAGTGTAGTTCTAAATCGAATTCCTCCGAGAGATGTTTTCTTAGACCATAAAACTCCAGGTGGAAAAGAAAAACCGACTTTGCTCCACTCCATGAAGGAAGTGGGGCCCCTTTAGTTATGGTGCCTTGTGGCACGCAGTCCCCCGTCTAACCAAATCAATTTTCGCGCCGCTTTATTAAGAAATTCTTCATAATTATATAGCGACGGCCGGCGGGCAAGTCGAAATAAAACTGTTGTTTATGGCCGAGTTGTGGCAACTAGTAGTCTCAATTATGGCTCTGGCTGCATCAACTTTCTCCCTCACTTGGGGCAGCCACGGCTGCTTAACCCCAATCGACGCCTCTAACTAACTGGCGTGTTAATTTGTTGGCCAGTTCCTCGCACAATTGCTGGACCATGAACAGATACACGGCGAGAAACCAGCTAAGAATCTCTCTCGAAGATTGGAGCTTTACAGTTAACGTTTTTGGTTAGCATAACAAAGATTCTGGGGGGCTAGCAGTGGGTCAACAACCCGAACCCTACCATCGTTATGTCAGGCCCCGTCTTTTGTCCCATTATTTGCATATTACACATGTCTCGAGTCCAGTTTGAGTGGCAATTAAAAAGGTATTTCTACATCTCCCATGGCTCCCAGGCTACCATAGTCAGGCCTCCATCCTAATCCATTCATCACACTGAGGCGAAATTCGGGATGTAAATTAATAAAGCCGCGTTATGAGCTTTTAAAGCGGGAAGTCGTAAATGAATACTGCCTCTGAAATGTGGGAATAACGCCGCCGAGCAGCGGACGCCGTCGATATGTGTGTGCGCAAAACCCAATTTGATCTGTCATCCTGTCAGCTCGCGTTATTTTTCCCAACCATCTGCCGTGCAGATAAGAACGGGTTCCCCGGAAAATGGAGCAGCTATTTACCATGCCATGCCTCTCCTCGACTTATTTTGATTGCATTTGACATTTAACACGAGTGCTGTGCCGATTAGACCGCCAAACCGCCCACACTCTTGGAGTTTAGTAGGCGTGCCTGGCTGGATTTTCATTTTCACTTTGCCCCACCAGATCGGGGGGGCTTATGTAAGCTCAATTAAAAAAAAATCGAGAAGGAATTCGAGCAGAGCAGAGACAAACTCGATCTGTGAGCACAGCAATCAATTTCTGGGGTCGGAGACAAAAGGCATTTAGCACCGCGCTCCCCGATTAGGCAGGCGTGAGATTATTATCTGGTCCAATGAAATATGAGACTGCCAGACAATGGCTCATTAGATCCAAGCCCTGTCGACTGGGCCTGGGCTCGGCTTTCCCCTAAAACTAGTTGGCTAGCGGGCCGGCCTAAACTATGTAATTATTACGGCCCAGCTAGCCAGAGCTTTCAGAGGCTTAAATTATAGTTTGGCCGTAAAATAGACAAACAAGTTAATCCATTAGCAAGTGAGACATCTTCTTGGCGAGAATCGAGAACCGGAAAGAAGCCAGCCTCGTGGTCCGCTATTAAATGCATATTTCTCATTGTTTATATTGTTTATCTGGCGGGCTTTCGTATGGTAATATCGGAAAATGTGCCATCCGACTGCATAATAAATTATGAAACTTTACAGTTGCATCGCTCGGGAGCGAGAATGAGTTGTCATGTCTGCACCGCGGCTTTCTAAACCACTTAGGTAGGCAGTGATAAGTCCATAGATATGTCAGATTTTCCGACGCTGAATGGGATTCTTGATAACACAATTTTGTGGCTTTTCGGTGGAAGACCCCAAAGCCCCAGAGAAGTGGGCGCTACACGGAGGCGAATACAAAAGGTGACGCGCGGTGAACGGCTTCAGCTGCTTAACTGCTGGCCGGGAAAGTAAACCAAGACAAGCAATTGACTTTTTAACCTGCATTGCTAGTAAATTACACTCGGAGAAAAATCTGCATAAGTAGCCATAAAATTAATTGCATCTGTCTGTCATTTTCCACGCAGTTTCCCAGCCGCTGGCCATGAAAACTTGAAACTAGACAAATGCCCGGCAATAAAAGGCTACCATAAAGCCATTCGGACACTCTACTTCAGTCCTGGCCAACTAGCCAGGGTAATTGCAATTGGGGATTGATGACAGAGCCGCCAGTCATACGGAATATCAGATATAATGGCAATGTAATAGGCAACTTCTGTATTTGCCTCGCATATTACTAATACGCCCAGTTAGCCAGTTGCCCAACTAGACCCGCTTGTCAGTCTGATTTCAATCAGTCTCTGGCTCGGCCACTGGGTCAGGTACGGGCTTGGGTATTAACGCCGGCAATTTAGCATCGGATAAATAACGCGACAAGCATCGATGGCGTCACTTACACATGTCGAACACCAAGCCAAGCCAGAGGAGGCAGCAATAAATTGTAACGGTGCCTTGCGGCACATCCACAACGATCTGATCCATCCATTCTTGGCCTTCCATCGCCGGAAGTCTTTGTTTGGGCATTGGTCTCCATTTTTGCTTTATGATTATTGTGTGATCGCGTTTTAATCGCATTGGAGTGGAGTAGCACATGTGAATCATGCGCTCAAGTGCCGCTTTTTCCCATTCGGAGAACTGGTTTCCCCCACTTACCCACTCATTGGGCTCTAATCACACCCGCCGTCTAACTGCAAATCTGGCCGGGATCGCGTGCTGCGGCCAAGACTATGTTGCGGTTGGAAACCATCTTCCATTTCTCAGTTGGCCGGAAACCACATGCCCCCTCCTGGCTCCGAGGGCACTCGCCTCTGCCTGCAATTGTTCTTCTTTATAATTTAATTATGTTTCGTCTATTTAGCATATCACAATAATATATCTAATTTAAAAATTCCAAAAGACAGTTATTCTTTTTAAAAAATAATTGCAAGTTTCTGTAAGAAAACAGAGACGTCAATATTGTTTCTGGCTTCTCCCTTGGCCCCTTCTCTCGCTGAGTGATCTTTGATCTCTGGTGGTAATCTGATAAATATTGCCTCCACTTTTGATTGACAGCCTTTCCATGGCATTGATCTCATAAATATGAGCCAAGACCCTGCCTTTTTGTCGACTCCATTAAGGCAGTCTGCGAGCACTAAGCTAAAAGCAGCTTAATGCACTCTCAAATACAACTTGGCATTGCGATGGAGACGAAGATTGCGGCTGGCAACACACACTGGCAGGATGCACTCATAGAGACTCACAGAGTACGACTGCGAATACGTTTGTACGTGCAACCATCGGTGGTAAGCTGGAATTGCAATGCCGTTGAGGCATTCGGCGGCTACCACTCAACCTGAGGCAGTTGCAGTTGCAGCAACTGCCCCTGCTGCTTATGCTGCTGATGATGATGAAGATGAAGATGAAGTTATTATTATCTGACAAGGGCATCGCCGCCATGGAAAACTGCATTGGCCTCGCACTTAGCCGAGCTGTTTTCCACATTTTCTCCTCCACTACGTGTCTGGTGTCTTTATTAGAGGCGTGACTAATCGGCTCGATGCCTGATGTCCGCAGTACCTTGTCCGATGTCCATTATCATCTCCCCTCTAGCCGTAAGCCGTAAGCCGTAAGCGTGTACGCAGCGCTATTTGCCTTTACATCCAATCACTATTAAGGGTTCAAGCTGCCAATTTCCAGTGTCTACAACACTTTGATTAAGTCTTCCAGCTCCACTCGGACGCCAGCTTCCGTGTGCGGTTTGGGGAAAGTGTTAAGAGCATGCTTCGGCGGTTTCCATCTAGTTGGAAAGTAAATTATAGGCAATCGATCAACACGGCGGGCTTTTGTTTAGTGTTTTTTGGATTCGGGTCGAGAAAGCGGAGTTTTCCTCGGGCTTTGTATCTGTATCTGTGTCAAGCGATAACCTAAAGATAAAGATATTTCCAGAAACTAAATAACACCTCTGAAGGAGTCGAGTTTTCTCCATGTGTAACCCTAACGAATAACCCATCAAGTTGTGCCAACAAAGAATAATAATATTCTTTTATAACCCATTCTAAAGAAAAGAACTTAGTTAAGCCTAAAAAATTTGGAAAAAATGTAAATAAATCCTACAACAAATAACCGGAACTAATCGCAACTAAAATCCAAGAACCAAACTTTAAAAAAACACAACAACTCATTTAAATTCCTAACAAACCTTAATTTACTTTTAAAACAAAAGCACCATAAAAACTTAAAAAAAAAAGCCCCAAAGAAAACAGTTAAAAGAGCAGAATGTCATTGCTAACAAGAAAAGGCACAGAGACCAGAAAATAATTACGGGCCAAGAACAATAATAATAAGCAACATGACCGGCCTGTCAGCGGCCGTAGGAGGAGGAGGATCAGGAAGAGTCAGCGGCCCGGAGGCTGTTTCTGGCCAGGTTGTAGAGGCCAGTGCCAGTGCCACCGCAAATGCCACTGCCACGGCCAGCATGGAGCCAGCGATGGTGCCACGAACCGCCAATTTGCTGGCATGCAAACAATGGTGGCGCGTCTGCTTTTTGTACGGCGACCAGCAGAAATATTATCGACAGCTCTATAGCAAGGCGGCGGCCCAGCGCCTGGCGGACGCTAATCAGGAGCCCGACAATAAGCCCGGCGATCGGAATCAGGACCGCGACTACGACACCGTCGGCTGCGATCTTATCAGGTCGCAATTAGATGCTGGCGAAGATGCGGACGATGGCATTGATCTGGGCGACGGTGCCCCCAAGGCGGGCAAGGGCAGCTCCTCTCCAGGGGCAGGGCGACCCCTCTTTCCGCTCTCCTCCTCCCCGCGACGCAGCAAGAAGCTTCTGCGATCGTTGAGGGCGCACGTACGAGGCGAGAAGCCTTCGCTTCCACCTTCACCCGGGGACACGGAACAGACCCAGAGGAATGCTCGCGTCACGGTGCTGGACGATCCCTTTCTCTTCGGCATCGATGCCGATCATCTGGGCGATCTGGTGCGCGGAAAGCGGTACGGTCCCCTCGAGGTCAGCGAGAATGTGTCCAAGTTCTTTGCCGATCAGGAGGGCACGGCCCAGGTTCTAGAGATTATCGAGCAAGAAGAGGAGATCCTGCCGCCGCCGGAGCAGGACACTGAAAAGCCAGCCCTACCGCCCAAGCAGAAGCAGCAGAGGCCGGTGCCACCTCTGCCGCCACCGCCAGCGAATCGGATTACCCAAACCCCAAACCAAAAGCTAACCCCAGAGCCACCAATGCGACCCCTGACCGCCGGCGATCTACAGTTTCTGAACCTGAGCCTGCGGCAGAGGAGTTTACCGCGCAGCATGAAGCCGTTTAAGGATCCCCACGATATCAGTTTCACTTTCAACGAGCTGGACACGAGCATCGCCACGGCAACATCAACGGCAGCGGAAGTGGCTACCGGAGTCACTGCCGCCCAGCAGGAGTCAAATGAGTGAGTAACTTTCCAGCCAGTTCATTTGTCAGATGCGATTTGGCATCCTTCGAGGTGGTTTCTTCTGTAGAGGGCAAGGTGTACCGTGTACATGCAATGCTGCATCCATTCACTGTATCTGCTGACAATTTAAATGCATAAGTTTTGTTGGCCGCAATGATTGATTACCGAGAGGTCGGGAGGAGATGCCGCGCGGCATCAACTTGTTGCGCAAGGCGGCGGATAGCGATACTGATGCCGCAGCAGGAGTCAATGAACACACATTGCGTGTTCTGCGACCGAGACGAACCGCAAAGTACACGCAACAAGCAGCAGCGGCAAAGCAACTACCCGAGGCAACTTGTTCTTGTCGTGGCAGCCTGAAACTGAAACCCCAAAGACAGTGGTGACAGGCGTGCGTAAATCGGCTCAGAGAAAGTCCGCTGATGGGGTATTAATCTTTTTATTTTTAAATAACATTAAAGTATCTACAGTACAGTAAAGAGACAGGTTTTAGATATTAAGTACCTTGTTTAGCAACAAAATCTGTTTAAATATTGTTTCTTTTACCAAAAATTAAAGAAAATTCTTTCATAATTTAATAAAAATAAAAATTATTTATTTAAAACATCCTTTAAAGTCCTAAGAAACTTGCCCCAGTGTATTGATGTTGGCTGTCTGGATCCGATCCGCTGCCTTGCACTCGAGTATAGTAGTTGCATGCCCCCTAGCTCCTGTCGTGCCCCTCAGCCCAATCTTTTCATACGCATCACTCACAACGGCAAACGGGCCTCCGCCTTCCACTTACGCGGGCTCACTCGGGTTACGCATACGACGCATGTGCCCCAGGGCCCAACGCACATGGGGCACAGCCGACGACGACGACAACTGCCAAAGTGTGATTTACCAGAGGCCTTGTTCCTCTTGGCGAATGCAGATGCAGTGGAGCCGAGTGCTGGGAGCTGGGAGTTAAGTAAGGCAAGAGAGTGGCTGCATTTCAGCAATTTTAGTGCCTTGCTACGGCGAGCTCCGCTTTCATGTCATGATTTTGCATAATGCCATGCAAATATCGGGCCCTAAGCCTAAGTTATTGTGTTTTGCGGATGGCAGGCACGCAGCTTATGAAATATGGTCGGCGATTGTTTTCCCGCAGCCAGCCGCATGACATTTCCTCCTTTTCAGCCATTCTGCCATTCAGCCATTCTGCCAGGGAATTGTGCCTTTGGGGGCTGTCGGGTGGAAAAAACAATATTGGCATATATTTCCATGGACATTTAAGGGCTTTGATTTAGTATGCAAGGCTTTGGGGGCAAACAAAAGACTTAGGCAACGAACTCGGCGACCGCAGTCGTTTCAGAGTTTGAGAAAAGAGCTCCACAACTCAATTAGTTGGTACCGGCTTACCACGATAATGATGCTTGCTACAATGAAGATAATGAAGATGAACTTTGGCAACCACAAATTAGAGATTCATTCGGGAGCTGCATTGCCAAACGGCCTGCTAACAGGAACCTCCAGCGATTCCAAGATCTGCCAAGAGATTCCAAGTTTTTTCAAGCGATTCAAACGATTCCAGCGAAGGCAATCAAAGCATAATTAATAATAATAACAGACGCCGTTTTGATGTGCCCCTGACACGGCTACCACCCCAATCTGTCTACCGCCACAATCCGGTAGCCACACGCGATTCTCCCGATTCCCGATTCTCGATTCTCGCCCAGAAGCCCAGCGGCTGCCATCGATGAAGTTTTCACCGCTTTGGCGCAGAATGAATTCTCACTGGGATTGCAATCGCCATGCAAAACCGGGAATTCTGAATCCAGTTTGGTCTGTGCCTTTTCTTTTAATTGTCCGGACCTCAGAGCGCTTAATGAAGATATTAAAAAATTGCACTGCAATAATTTGTGCGGCTCAGCTCAGCTGCGGCTGAAGCCAAATGGCTTCTGGTTTGTTCACATTCTGCGCTGGCAATTACCTTCTGCTCAGCCCGTGTCTAAGCATTCAATTCAATCTTAACTGCCATCGAGTGGCGCATAAATCTCCGGAGCTTAGCCGGGATCCTTGGAGGCGTGGCTGGGGCGTTGGAGCCACTTTTATGACATGTTCTTCAACCGGAATGACAAAAAGCCAATGCCTAGAAATTTTCCTGGGAATCTGTAGAAAGACATGTTTATGGTATTTGGAAGGAGATAGAGTTGGGTTCTATAAATGCATCTTATCTTGCATCAATGCAACAGATTTTCTGAACTACAACAAAATGAGCACTGCGATCTTGCAACCCATTCATATTGATTTTGGTTTTAATTAACAAAGCCATTAGGGGCACTCGCCTGCAAGTTGCAACAGCCTCGCCTCTGACAAATGCCCGCTTACTCGCTTGGGAGGCGTGGCTGCAACTCTGACTCTGGCTCTGGCTATGTTGCAGATGCAACTTAATTACAAAAACAAAGTGCAGCCAAAGCGACGCTGATGGTGGCGGCAACTTGCATGACTTGGCCCAGACAATTGGCCAACTGGCTTTTTCAGCTCTTTCAGCTTATTTGGCGCCAGAGAAGTGCGATGCAACAACAACAATGGCGACAAGAGCAACGTTGCCAGTGATTTATTTATGCACGGCGATAAAATATGATTTTGTTTTCGTTCATTTTGAGTTTCAGGTCTTACTGGCGGTAATGTGAAAATAAAGCAAGGCCATTAAGCGTCTCCGCTCATGTTAGCCATGCTAATTGCCTCAAAGCGGCGGTTCGTGGGGAGGGGCATTGGCCATGTTTATACGCATTTATGGCCAACACAACTGCGTCGCATATTAATTGTGTTTTGCGACTCCGACATATTGCCAGGGGGATTTCTCAAGCGTCTTAAGCCGAGCTGTCAGAAGTGGCTCAAACGAACCGGGCGACCGGGCGGGAGGGCAAAAAATTGAAATCAGTTATTGTTAGCTCCACTTGTCTGCGCCCACATCAAAGCCATTCGTTGCGGATCGCTTTGTGGTCGTGGAGTCGGTGGACCCACTACAGTTTGAATCTTTATGAAGGGATTTTTGGGGATTAGTTAAGCCGAAAGTTGACACTTGACTGACACATCAAGCCAAACACACTGGAGGAATTCTTGGGATACCTCGGCGGCATGTACATAATTTCCGCCCGCCCAGCACCCGGCAACTAATTAATAAAACATTTAACGCACTCACACAGACACGCAAGCCAATAAATTAATAGCTGGGTGTATCTCTGTGGAGCCGGTTAAGTGGCAAGGGAAGGGGGGGCAAGCTGGCAACTGGAGGTAGTCGCGTAATTTTTATTGACAGCTTCACTTTTTGCATTTAAATTGCCTGCATGCCACTGGACTCGCAGCTAGGTGCTCGCAACTTGCAACTAAGAAACTGGCTGCTTGCAACTTGCTGGCGAGTGGCAAGATTCCGCCTGCATTAACACTCTTTGCATTCCTGCCTCGTTAGCTCTTGAACTTGCCCCGAAGCGGGTTTCCTATCCCAACCGGAGAGCCCCTCCAAAGGCGATCCACTAACCGCGATAAGCCCAGAACTTTGGGGCATTATCATTGTTTGCCAGAGGCCCGAGGGGCGTACGGACCATAAATTCAAATCCAAACCCCATATATGCATATTTATTCCGATCTCTGGCATCGCCAGAAGTCAACTGAGTGACAAATCGATGGGATTACCAGCTCCCCGGTCCATCCTGACAATGCAGCAACCTGCAATGTGCTGCATCATTTAACTGTCAGGGCATCTAATAAAATGTAATTAGCGGCTAATTATTTCAGCATGCTGCTTTGCCAAGGGGCCAAGACTTGTTGCTGGCCAACATCAGGTAGGTTGTCAACAGCATGCCACCGAGAACAGTTAGTGCAAAAGTGCACTTTACCGTTTAAACTTTTTGCCAAACATCGAGCCAAATCAGTAGGAGGAAACGCTGGCCACTCGAGGTCGAGTCATGGAATACTCTTCAGGTTTTTGCAATTTATTGTTTTTCAATCGGAGAGCTTTCTGCGATTAATTACGGTCTTCTGGTGGGAATTCATATCTGATTTGTGGCTTCAGACCAATCATTGGTACTAAAACTTTGAGAGCCAGAACTAATTCCCCAGAGGGAATGGTCAGGTTCTGGCCAAAACCAAAATACTCGACATCCTTTTTGTTCGGCCGGCCGACTTGCAACTTGCAACGTGCAACTTGCATCGCGTAGGCAGACGAACACAATTTCTTTGCTGCTGGTTTTGTTAATGGCCAAGAAATTAGATTCCAATTTCAGTTGGCCATAAATCAAAATAAGCCAACATGCGGCAGGAGCAGGAGTTTGCTTTATTACGGTTAATTTGTGAACAGTTTTGCAGCAAATACTCGGCCACATAAATCAAATCGGATTCGGCTGGTGGCTGGTGGTAGAGAGCCTGGCAAAAGGCTCACTGCCGACATGTTTTTGCATCCGAATGTGTCATTAATAATTATAGTTTTGAATGCAGTTTTGTTGGCCATGGATAAGCGGTTGATTTATGCCGCCAATATCACAGTATCACATGCTCCGGGAAGCTCTCCAAGTGAGTGGAGGCCGACCTTCGGGACGGGTATCCGATAGATACCCGATAGGCTCTGGACAAGGTCTCGAAGCCAACACTCGAAGCGTGATTTCCATCACTCGCCGTGTTTGCACAGCTCGGACCCACAGCGGAATAAAATCAATCAATGCCAATTTGTTTACCAAATCATCATAAAAACCATGGCAAGAGTGCCCGAATCAAAAACCCCAGCTCCGCAACCTAACGGATGCGTTCGGATGGCCGAATGGCCGGATGGGGAGCTGGCAAGGGGGCTAGCCAGAAAGGTAACGAAATGTAATTATGGTCAAAAACAAAATTGAGCATAATCACTCCGGCAATAAAGGCAGCATTAATGTATAAAAATCGAAGCATCAAAAAAGTCGTAGAGATGCCCAAAGACGGGACGCGACGCGACGAGACGGTGAGACGACAAGGAACAAAAAGCATGGCAAGCAAAAACACAGCCAAAGACACGGCTTCAATTAAAAAGCCAGCCCGAGACGGGGGGCTCCATAGCCGAGCTGGGGAAAACAAGTTCATAGACCAAAGACAACGACCGCAGAAGCAGCAGCCTTCTCCATCTCCAGTCTTCAGTCTTCGTTCTTTGGTCTCCAGTTTCCAGATGAATGCCGTAGGCTCCGGCTCTGGAACACACACAGTCACATAGGGTGTTGAGTGGGCCAGGGAGGGTATCGGTTTATACATATACATATATATGTATATGTATATATTTTGCGGGAAGAGGCTCTACCTGGTGGGCGACCCAGAACAACATATGCTTTTTTCAGCAGCTCATGATTTGATGTATTTGCCACAAAGTTCGAAATTAATTGGCTGCCGCTCGAATAAAAAATAATGCCTTGAATCAATTACCATGAAAACAAATTGGAACTTCTCCTATCGCCGCCTTTAGCTCACCGAATTTGCATTGATGATGCAATTTCTCTTCTGGCCATTACGAGAGCGTCCGGCGTGTGCACTTGGTGGAGGTTCTTGCAACAAACCTGCTTATTGTTGCAGGTGCACGGTGAGAAAAGGATGGTTAAAGTCAGGGCTAAAGTCTATCTAAAGACTCTCTGAGGGACTAGCTAAAAGGTCTGCCCTTTATTATATTTTCTAAATTTTTTTCGAGTGCATCCTTTTGTTTGAACCAAGCTAGTGTTGCTAGGGTATTGCTAGATGTTACTCGTGTTGCCTGGTGTTGCGCGGTGTCTTTGGCTCCCAGAGACTGGGACTGAGGCATCGGGGCAACGGGGCAAGGAGGCCTTCAATGTTTGCCGCTTAGCACACAAATTGCTGGCATAGTTGGTCGGGATGGGACGCTGTTGTTGCTATTTGCAGCTGTGAAAATTTGCACGCTCGGGAAACAATTTTCCTGCCCGTTAGCAGAGCAAAGAAACAAAGGGGGAACAAAAAAATGAAGAGGAGCAGGCCAGTCCAGGCCGGAGCAGAGCTGAGAAAAGCAGGCAGAAATGTGGCAGCAACATATTTGCCGCCTGCAATGAGTGGCAATGTGCACTGACCGCCCCAAAGTTTAATTGGTTTAGTTGTGGCCGAAAGATAAGCCAAACGCAATTTGCCGCAATGATGCAACTTTCTAAACTGGCAAATTGAAAGGGGTGGTGGTAGCCCCGAGGAGCAAGAGGAGGAGGAGTAAAAGAATTAGTACAGTGCAGAGTCGGCAATTAGTACCACGCGGCGTATGCGTAATAAACGCACCTAGGAAGAGACCACACACCGTCAGTCTGACATTCTTAATCAACTTTCATGTGTGGCAAGATGAGAAAAAAAAGAGCGTTTGCCTGCTGCCTGGTGCCTGCCAAAGTCAATAAAAATGTCAACACGGCAAATGTCATGTTGACAAGGCAGACAGAACAAAACGTGCTGGTCGAGAGGAAAAATGCGAAGCATTGCTGGGAGTAGACGAGTATATATGGACATTCTCCCCCATATAAACTTTACGACCTTTTTCCACCGCTCCTTTCTCTCCAGTGCTCCGGCAATGGACAATTTTTATGGACAATTCAAAAATCGTTTATGACAATCGCACCGAACACGAACGCAACTGCCAACGAAGCTGGCCAACCTTTTTTAATAAAGTTTTGTTGCTCCTCGGCCAGGGATAGTAAAACAATAAAAGGATATAGAGGCCAACAGACAGTCCTGGCTGACCAGCTGAGAGATGTCGTAAAACTAAAAGCAAACAAGTCTTGATGGTGCGACACCTGTCCCTGAATTCCCCACTGAAGCCGTATATTAAATAATTACACAAAGGAAAATTACAGAGTACTTACTATAAGATAGCTTCCATGATAAACCATAATATTGGCCATTATAGCACACAATCATCTTATTTCTCCCAGTGTTAAGGTTGGTGTAACTTTCGCTGTGGATACATATTATATGTATTAGCAGGTTTATATATACCATATACGATTATTTTCGGCTGCTGCTGGTGCTGCTCTTCCGACATTAACCCAAATCACACAAATGACTTGAGAAAACCGCACACAAAGTGCCAAAGTGATTTGGGGCTAACCTTTTTGGCCATTGTTCCTCTTTCGTTGCCAGCCACCTGCCCGCCCTCCTTGGATCCCCTGGAGATCCATTCGCTAAACTGTCTTTAGCCAAGCATTGAGCCGTCGCTCATCGCTCAAGCTCTTTGGCAATTTGTCAACGCGACCGCCACCAAATGATCGTTCATTTGGATGCCAGATAAAGCCCAGACGCGGCTAAATATAGGCACTTGCCACAATTGCCACAAACTAAAGGAGGTCCAAGCAGCTGCAGCTGGATTCCATGGCTACCACGATCTATAACCATGGCTATCAATGGCCCAATACTGCCTGGGCTGTGAACTAGTTTTCCAAAGGGTCTCCCAGGCGCACCGACTGGGGCTCCGAGAAACCGAGAAACCAGTTCTCTGGGTCAACGACTGCCAAAGTAATTGAGTCGAAGCCGTAGCCCTCCGCCGTCGATCAATGCAAATATCGTCAACAGCTGCCGACCAGACTGGCTGAGAACTGGCGGGCTTTTTCCTTCAGGCGATGCCACTTTTGTGTCTCTCTCCAGTTGCCGCTGGCTACTTACTTACTTACAACAAAGTTGCACAATACTAAGCCTCAGTTTTTATGGTTTAATATTTTAATTCCTGTAATAGCCATGAGTACTTGTAGTGTTTGTATTATCTTGTTATACAAACCCGCATTTGACCCGTTTTTTTGAGACAATACCTACCCAGAAATATGGTTATACTTTCCATTTCCCCTAATAACTTCATAGTCCCCATATCGGCCAGCCCCAAATTGAAACTTGCCACAATTGCCTTGCCAATTTTACGCAATTCGCTGCAGTCAACAATAAATTTGTGCTGGTCCCAGAAAAAAGTTGGCCAAAGAGAAATGCAGGTCGCCGGCATGGAAAAGCCAAGCTGCACAATAAATTCGCCAGACAGACTCCCTGAAAATGTAGTTCCATGGCCCGGAGTCGGGCTTTTGCAGTTTTCAGCTCAAGTGGGAATTGGAAACTGGGAACTGGGAACGGAGAGGCACTGGCCGGTCCGGTCCGGTAATTTGAGTTTTGAATACGGCTGATTTGACAGCAGGCAACACTTGGCTTGCTGCAATGGGGTCTCCAGCTGGGGCATGTTGCACGTGCATAGCCGGCGACTTTGGATTCGCATTTCAATCGCCTCTGTTTCGCCCCCCTCGACAGACCCAATGAAATGTAGTGCAATTCCATTGCAAATCCCAATTGTGCAGCCCCGCCACCACGCATTCTTGCGTTTGAAGCTCAAAAATTCAAATTCAAATGTCAGGCGATTTTTTTGGGGTTTATTTCCCATTGAATGTCGCAATCTGCGCAATTAATTTACTGGCCAACCGCATGGCAAATAGCGCCCGTCCAGCTATTGACACATCAACGGGTCCCCCCAGAGCTCCCTTTGGTGCTGAACTAGAAATGGAATTGGAAAATGTTAAATCGGGATATGGCTGGTGAAGGAATGAAAGAATTCACGGGTTAAAACAACAAAAGGGCGGACAGCATTGTTTTGATAAAACGCCCGCATGAACTCGCATTTCCAGTTCGCTTGAGTTCAGTTCAGACCACGCCTCCGCCTCCGTCCCTGTCCCGGTCCCAGTCCCACTCCATTCCTGTATCCATCAGATACAAATTCGTGTGTGTGTATCTGCACAATGCACAGTTATCCTTTTGTAAAGCCAAACAGCGCACTGCCATGAAATGGTGCGTGTTCATTTTTCCGGAAGTCGCAGTGAAAAATTGTGCATTTTCAACGGAAAAAGTTTATTGCAAAATTTGAAACTTTAGTAGTTTAAAGGAGTGAGGAAATCAAATAGTTTTTCGGAGGGAAATCAATTAAATTTTCATTCAAAAACAGCCCTCAGGGGCCACAACATGGTTTATAACCTTAACTGATGGTTTCTATTTCACATTTTTGTTTAAAATTATTTCCATAACTCTACTAAAAATTGCGAGGAGCTCCAGACGTGGATTATAGAGAATACAGGGCCAGTCGGGTTAACAATATCAGAATAATGGCAAAATGACAACGACGACAGCCCTGCGGGCTTGGCGGCAAAAAAAACCATATTATCAGAAACGCAGAGCCGTCGATTTGTTTGTGTAAATGCTATGAAGCGTATATTTTTCATTTTGACGTTTGCAAAAACAAAACCCCATCTACAATTGTCCTCGCATAAAAAACAAGCAAAAATAAAAAGCACAAAAAAGTGCACAGAGCTGGTAAAAAAAACGCATAAAAGCAAACTAAAATTGACAGCTTTGCTTGTCGGGAAATAGGAAGTGAAAAACCGCATAAATCCAACGTATCACAAAAGGAAAACAATATAAATGTTTTCCATGTGGTTTTATATTCCATTAACAATATGATTCGGCTTTGTGGCTAGGATTATCATGTTTTTTGTTTCGTTATTTTTTTTCAAGCTTTTCCTCTGTTGACCTTAAAGCCCTCGACATACCGAAGACGGGAAATATTTTAATTAATTCGAAAACTTTAATTAAGTTTCGATTAGTCAAGCCTGGAGTCTAAGTCACGTTTTCGTTCTGTTCTTTTTTGTCTTCGCAGGCCCATCAGCCGGACGCCGCTGACGCAGATCTCGTATCTGCAGAAGATTCCCACCTTGCCACGCCACTTTTCCCCGAGTGGCCAGGGCCTGCCCCCGGCTCCCGCCCTCGCCGGCTGCGGCCTGGGTCTGCCCAGCAGCTCATCCGCCAGCGCCCTGTACGCGGCCCAGACTGCGGCCGGCCTGCTGCCCACCTCCCCACTGCCTCTGCAGCGCCATCAGCAGTACTTGCCGCCACACCACCAGCAGCTGCCGGGACCCGGACCCGGTAACATGCCCGGCGGAGCCTCCCCAAGTGGACTCCAGTACTCGCCCGGCAGCTCCACGAATCCGAAGTACTCCAACGCCCAGCTGCCACCGCTCCACCATCCTCCGCACCATCAGATGTCGCCCGCCCTGTCCTCTCCGTCGCCGCCATCGCTGATGCACCACCCTGCTGGCGGCACGTCCTCCGCTGGGGTACACCCTCCTTTCCTGGGCGGTCCACACATGGAGATGCAGCGGCAGTCTCACTCGGACGACGACAGCGGGTGCGCCCTGGAGGAGTACACCTGGGTACCGCCTGGACTGCGGCCTGATCAGGTAAGTTCAGCTTCCGATAGTTTCTGGAGAGGATTTTAAGGTTAAAGAGCCTTCAAGTGTACTGCCTCCACATACTGGCCAAGTAAGAACCAAAGAGAACTCACACTGGGTGCCTATGCTGTTCCTGGACATCCATGATGTCTTTGCATGGCCACGAAGTCCGAAAGATTGCAGCGAGAAGCGCCAAGGGCACAGTCTCGTGCTGGCAGACGAGATTTGTGGGCTGGCGATAAGCGGGATACTTGAGTTATTGTGCGTTATTTTGTCACTCGGAGCCAGCTGTAAATAAATACACACGCCGAGGCCATAAATCAGCCACTAGTGGCCAGAACAGCCTTACGAGGGGTACAGTCTAGACTCTCTAGCTAGAACTTTGTAGAGAGATTAAAACTAAGAACTGAAAATAGCAAAGAATATTGCTTGTTTTTGATAGTCCTTTAATAGGACCTTCTTAAGGCCTTTTTAGGAAGCCTTCTTTAGGAAAAATTCAATTTATAGAATCTCTACTGTACTGACTGCACTCTGCCATGGTAGGGTACCGGTCCCATTGAAGCGTGTCAATTAGGCGAAGGTCTAGTCCAACTATCCGTCGAATTAGATAGTGCTAATGAAAGTATGGCCCCGGGTCCGAGTCCGAGTCCGACTCCAACTCAGTGTATATGGACCCTGCCATTCCTCAATTCGCATTTGACTTTAATGGCCAATTCAATTGTGGCTGGAAAGCGCTCTGGCCGAAAAGTCGCTGCTGCTTTTTTCAATTATTTGCCAGGCGCTCGAATAACGAAACGAACTCGTAAATTATTCGCGTAAAATATGCGACAATGCCAAATAAATCTTTCACAATCTGCCCGGCAGAAGCGCCCAGTTGCCGGTTACCAGTTACCAGTTCCCAGTTGGCGGCTCTGAAATTCGGAATCTTTTTTTTCGGGTTGAACTCTTTGACTTCCGTTGCAAAAAAAAAAGAGCCATCCCATCCCATCGGGCCTATCAAATGTCTAGGATGGCATTTCTTTCAGTTCGTTTCGTTTTTCGGTTTTTTTTCTGGATTTGTGCCTTGTGTGACTTTACAAACAGAATTGAAAATTTATTTACAGTCATGTGGCAGCAATTTACGTTGATGCGGCATAAGCCGAGTGTCAGTCAGTCAGCCAGTCAGCCAGTCAGGCAGTCAGGCAGCCAAGTTGGTTGGCATTTCCCCGCCGATGAAAGAACGTTTTGCAGCGATCTGCAAGCGTGGCCAATAAAGTTGGCTTAGCACGTTGTGCACCTTTCAACCTGGCTCAGATGGAAAAGCCATCCGAGAGGCAGTCGCTCCTGGAGCGGCGGGAAATCAGCGTAATAAAATCAAAAATCTCTGCCCGCTGAGTCGGGCTGCGGTCCGGACTCCGGACCGAACCCTTTGTCCCGCCCGTTTGAGGAGGCTCTTTAACTGTATTTAGGCATTCCGCAATGTACTTACCACTCGGCGGATCTCCATTCTCCACTATCTGTTCTCTGTTCTCCCGCAGGTTCGCTTGTATTTCTCGCAAATACCCGACGACAAAGTGCCATATGTCAACAGTCCGGGGGAGCAGTATCGTGTGCGACAATTGCTGCATCAACTTCCGCCGCATGATAACGAGGTAAGTCAAGGGGGAGGTCCCCCCCATAACCAGCAAGCCCTCCTTAACTCCGCCCCTGAACCCCTCCCCGGTGGACCTGTCAATTTAGCAGCATTTATTCAGAGAGAAGGAGCCTAGCATCGCATGGCGGCCACTTTATCGTGATTGAAACCAACTCGAATTACGGCTATGACATTTCACAGTCAAATTTTTCAACCATTTTCCACATACGAGTATACGAGTCACCTATCCGGGTCTCAGTCACCGATAATTAATCGGGAAAACAAGTGCAGCCAGACTGAGGTGACTGTGGTGCGGAATTTAGAGCAGACGCAGGCCACAAAAATCACCAAAATCAAATGGGAATGGTCTCGACTTAGGGTTTCCTTGTAGTTATTAGACCAGGAGCTCTAAGCTTGGAGGAAACTAGCCATAACTTGGCTAATACTCATCCGATAGATCGGAACCGATAAAAACGCCTCTCGAATGTTACCATTTTCGGCCACCTATAATCTTATATGATAGTTAGTTAGAAAAGTTGATAGTTAGAAAAAAACCCAGAAAAACTCATAGTTTCTTATTAAAAATACAAAACTCTACAGTAAGTCCCGCTCATACCCGCAAAATTACACAACTACTGAGTATGAAGACCTGGATGGCTGAGCGGATTCCCAGATATCAGTAACGTGGGTTGGGGTTTGCGGATTTGGGATTTGGGATCTGCTCTGGCTAACGATGACTAGAACACTCATTGAAGGCCAACCCGAAAAAAAAGCAGAAACCCAAAAAAATAAGTAGAGGCAACCGAAAAAAATTTGCATACAGCACACAAACGAGACGCTGACCGCAGACTGTTGAGCTGGAAACTAGGAATCGGAGTCGGAGTTGGAGTTGGATTTTGAGATGAGGCAGATGCAGATGCTGATGGAACTTTAGTTGGAGGGGACAGAATGGCAGGGGGTGTGGCAGACTGGGACTGAGGGGAGGAAAGCGTTGATGGGCAGCCTTGGCTACTGGCTACCGTTTCACCTTTACGTTTCTGGGATTTCTGGGTTGTCTGCCGCTAGGTTGCAGGCTTCAGTCGAGACAAACAATCTCCGCCCGTTCGCCCCGGTTGCCGGCCCCGCTTCTTGGAAAGATCACTTGAGGCTGTGGTTCTGCCCACGGTTTCTGGGGATGTATAGGGGCTCCCACTTGAACATATGATTTCCCTGTCCGAGTGGGGAGCAAGAAAAGCCACAGTTTTCAGTTTTCAGTTACTCACTGTCGTTGCAGGTTCGTTACTGTCACTCACTGACGGATGAGGAGCGCAAGGAGTTGCGGCTTTTCTCCACGCAACGCAAACGCGATGCCCTGGGCCGCGGCAACGTGCGGCAGCTGATGAGCGCCCGACCCTGCGACGGTGTAAGTATTTGCCCCCTTCCCCCTCATGTGTCTTTGCCACACATTTGCCTTGAGATCTAATCCGAAACGTAATCCCACGGTACCTTGCAGTGCGATGAACTAATTTCTACGGGCGACATAGCCGTGTTTGCCACTCGATTGGGTCCCAATGCCAGTTGGCACCCAGCCTGCTTCGCCTGCTGCATCTGCCGGGAGCTCCTGGTGGACCTCATCTACTTCCACCGGGATGGGCGTATGTACTGCGGACGCCACCACGCCGAGACCCTCAAGCCGCGCTGCTCGGCCTGCGATGAGGTGAGTTCAAGAATTGGGGAAGATATAGCCATCACTGTGGACCCTATAGGAGAAAACCCCATTTTCAAGGGATCCCATCAGAAAAATGGACAAAAAATTAAAAATATATTTCGTCTTGGGATTTTTATGCAGAATGGTGGCGAATCGATCCAGAAATCGTTTAAGGTACTTCGCTTGGGAATCTTTTCAAGGGATCCCATCATGAAAAATGGACAAAAAATCTGAAATATATTTCGTCTTGGGATTTTGATGCAGAATGGTAGCAAATCGATATAGAAATCGTTTAAGGTACTCCGCTTAAGAATCGGAGCAGAATCGGGTAAGATATAGGCATCACCGTGGACCCCATAGGGGAAAACACCATTTTCAAGGGATCCCATCATGAAAAATGGACAAAAAATCTAAAAAATATTTCGTCTTGGGATTTTGATGCAGAATGGTAGCAAATCGATATAGAAATCGTTTAAGGTACTCCGCTTGGGAATCGGAGCAGAATTGGGGAAGATATAGGCATAACTGTGGACCCCATAGGGGAAAACACCATTTTCAAGGGATCCCATCATGAAAAATGGACAAAAAATCTAAAAAATATTTCGTCTTGGGATTTTGATGCAGAATGGTAGCAAATCGATATAGAAATCGTTTAAGGTACTCCGCTTGGGAATCGGAGCAGAATTGGGGAAGATATAGGCATAACTGTGGACCCCGTAGGGGAAAACACCATTTTCAAGGGACCCATCATGAAAAATGGACAAAAAATCTAAAAAATATTTCGTCTTGAGATTTTGATGCAGAATGGAAGCAAATCGATATAGAAATCGTTTAAGGTACTCTGCTTAAGAATCGGAGCAGAATTGGGTAAGATATAGGTATCACTGTGGACCCCATAGGGGAAAACACCATTTTCAAGGGATCCCATCATGAAAAATGGACAAAAAATCTAAAAAATATTTCGTCTTAGGATTTTGATGCAGAATGGTAGCAAATCGATCCAGAAATCGTTTAAGGTACTCCGCTTGAGAATCGGAGCAGAATTGGGGAAGATATATGCATCACTATGGACCCCATAGGGGAAAACACCATTTTCAAGGGATCCCATCATGAAAAATGGACAAAAAATCTAAAAAATATTTCGTCTTGGGATTTTGATGCAGAATGGTAGCAAATCGATATGGAAATCGTTTAAGGTACTCCGCTTAAGAATCGGAGCAGAATTGGGGAAGATATAGACATCACTGTGGACCCCATAGGGGAAAACACCATTTTCAAGGGATCCCATCATGAAAAATGGACAAAAAATCTAAAAAATATTTCGTCTTGGGATTTTGATGCAGAATGGTAGCAAATCGATATAGAAATCGTTTAAGGTACTCCGCTTGGGAATCGGAGCAGAATTGGGGAAGATATAGGCATAACTGTGGACCCCATAGGGGAAAACACCATTTTCAAGGGATCCCATCATGAAAAATGGACAAAAAATCTAAAAAATATTTCGTCTTGGGATTTTGATGCAGAATGGTAGCAAATCGATATAGAAATCGTTTAAGGTACTCCGCTTGGGAATCGGAGCAGAATTGGGGAAGATATAGGCATAACTGTGGACCCCGTAGGGGAAAACACCATTTTCAAGGGACCCATCATGAAAAATGGACAAAAAATCTAAAAAATATTTCGTCTTGAGATTTTGATGCAGAATGGAAGCAAATCGATATAGAAATCGTTTAAGGTACTCTGCTTAAGAATCGGAGCAGAATTGGGTAAGATATAGGTATCACTGTGGACCCCATAGGGGAAAACACCATTTTCAAGGGATCCCATCATGAAAAATGGACAAAAAATCTAAAAAATATTTCGTCTTGGGATTTTGATGCAGAATGGTAGCAAATCGATATAGAAATCGTTTAAGGTACTCCGCTTGGGAATCGGAGCAGAATTGGGGAAGATATAGGCATAACTGTGGACCCCGTAGGGGAAAACACCATTTTCAAGGGACCCATCATGAAAAATGGACAAAAAATCTAAAAAATATTTCGTCTTGAGATTTTGATGCAGAATGGAAGCAAATCGATATAGAAATCGTTTAAGGTACTCTGCTTAAGAATCGGAGCAGAATTGGGTAAGATATAGGTATCACTGTGGACCCCATAGGGGAAAACACCATTTTCAAGGGATCCCATCATGAAAAATGGACAAAAAATCTAAAAAATATTTCGTCTTAGGATTTTGATGCAGAATGGTACCAAATCGATCCAGAAATCGTTTAAGGTACTCCGCTTGAGAATCGGAGCAGAATTGGGGAAGATATATGCATCACTATGGACCCCATAGGGGAAAACACCATTTTCAAGGGATCCCATCATGAAAAATGGACAAAAAATCTAAAAAATATTTCGTCTTGGGATTTTGATGCAGAATGGTAGCAAATCGATATGGAAATCGTTTAAGGTACTCCGCTTAAGAATCGGAGCAGAATTGGGGAAGATATAGACATCACTGTGGACCCCATAGGGGAAAACACCATTTTCAAGGATCCATCATGAAAAATGGACAAAAAATCTAAAAAATATTTCGTCTTGGCATTTTGATGCAGAATGGTAGCAAATCGATATAGAAATCGTTTAAGGTACTCCGCTTGAGAATCAGAGTAGAATTGGGGAAGATATAGGCATCACTATGGACCCCATAGGGGAAAACACCATTTTCAAGGATCCATCATGAAAAATGGACAAAAAATCTAAAAAATATTTCGTCTTGGCATTTTGATGCAGAATGGTAGCAAATCGATATAGAAATCGTTTAAGGTACTCCGCTTGGGAATCGGAGCAGAATTGGGGAAGATATAGGCATAACTGTGGACCCCGTAGGGGAAAACACCATTTTCAAGGGATCCCATCATGAAAAATGGACAAAAAATCTAAAAAATATTTCGTCTTGGGATTTTGATGCAGAATGGTAGCAAATCGATATAGAAATCGTTTAAGGTACTCCGCTTGAGAATCAGAGTAGAATTGGGGAAGATATAGGCATCACTATGGACCCCATAGGGGAAAACACCATTTTCAAGGATCCATCATGAAAAATGGACAAAAAATCTAAAAAATATTTCGTCTTGGCATTTTGATGCAGAATGGTAGCAAATCGATATAGAAATCGTTTAAGGTACTCCGCTTGAGAATCAGAGTAGAATTGGGGAAGATATAGGCATCACTATGGACCCCATAGGGGAAAACACCATTTTCAAGGATCCATCATGAAAAATGGACAAAAAATCTAAAAAATATTTCGTCTTGGGATTTTGATGCAGAATGGTAGCAAATCGGTATAGAAATCGTTTAAGGTACTCCGCTTAAGAATCGGAGTAGAATTGGGGAAGATATAGGCATCACTGTGGACCCAATAGGGAAAGATCCCCACTTGAGAATCGGGTGAGAATTGGGTTTGTTTTCCTTTCCGAAGTTAGCCTTCGTTTCTTGTTTGGACTAAGATCTAAACTAGAATTGTATTATTTAATCCGAAAGCCGTATGACTGTTTCACAGCTTGACTTGTCTGCCACTCGTTTATTTGGACAGTTACATAAATGCTCAGTTACCTGAATATGATTTCCTTAATATGCAATCATGGTTCATGTGGCAGTTAACTCGTTAATGACAGACGTCTGTCAGCCAGGAATTCGCCGGCCGACAAAAATGTTGGCAGCTCGGCAACTGCCAAAGTGCCAGCTAGAATGCATAATAATAGTTTATTTTGCTTTAAGTTAGAATTCCACTTGGAGAATAAAAAACTAGAATCTAGAAACTTGAAAACCTATAACTAGAAGTGTCTACTTACTTAGGAGATACAGCTCCTTAATATGCTTACTAATCCATTTCCCATTACCCTTTTTCTCTCGCAGATCATCCTGGCCGACGAGTGCACAGAGGCGGAGGGCAGGGCGTGGCACATGAACCACTTCGCCTGCCACGAGTGCGACAAGCAACTGGGCGGCCAGCGGTACATAATGCGGGACGGCAAGCCCTACTGCCTTCACTGTTTCGACGCGATGTTTGCCGAATACTGCGACTACTGCGGGGAGGCGATTGGCGTGGACCAGGGACAGATGAGCCACGACGGCCAGCACTGGCATGCCACCGACGAGTGCTTCTCGTGCAACACCTGCCGCTGCTCTCTGTTGGGTCGCGCCTTCCTGCCTCGCCGCGGGGCCATCTACTGCTCCATTGCCTGCAGCAAAGGAGAACCGCCCACGCCGTCGGACAGCTCGGGAACCGGCACTGGCACAGGTCTCGGCATGTACACTTCATCCCCCCGGCCACCGCACGCGCAGGCAGCTCCGCCAGCACGTATTCCCAGCAGCCACGCCTCCAGCTCACCGCCCATGTCGCCGCAGCAGCAACAGCAGCACCAGGCCAGCTTCAACCAGGCCATGTACCAGCTGCAGAGCCAGCAGCTGGAAGCAGCCGGAGGTGGAAGTCTGTTGGGATTAGGAGGGGAACTCTCCCTTCTGGACCACACCAAGCAGGGACACAGCTACGCCACCTCGGACTCTGATGCGGGCGTGGTCAAGGACCTGGAGCACGGCCACCATCCGGGCGGTGGGGACCTGACGGACTTTTCGGGCGGTCGCGCCTCCAGCACCTCGCAGAACCTGTCGCCTCTGAACTCCCCGGGCGACTTCCAGCCCCATCTGATGCCCAAGCCTATGGAACTGCAGCGCGATGGAGTGTACAACTTTAATGAAATGTCCTCCAATCTGGACGCGGCCTGGCCCGCAAAGCCTCCGCTGGGTGCTACCCACAGCTACCAGTTGCAACGACAGCTAATGGAGCAACCGCACACCTCCAGCTTGCCAGAACTGACAGGTCCGATGCCGGGTCACAGCCAGGGACAGGGTCACCTGCAGCACCTTTCGCATTTGCATGCCTCTGCCCAGCAGTTCCAGCACCACGAGTACGCGGACATCCTGCATCCGCCGCCACCGCCTCCGGGAGAAGTGCCGGAACTTCCCACGCCCAATTTGAGTGTGGCGTCCACTGCCTTGCCGCCAGAACTGATGGGCTCACCCACACACTCGGCGGGTGAAAGGTCACTCAACACCCCCCTTTCCACGCAGTCGGCGACGCAAGCACCCATGCATCCGGTGTCCATACTGAGCGGAGCATCCTCATCCTCCCCCATGAGCGGAGAGCCGGGAAAGAAGAAGGGCGTACGTTTTGAGGGAATCCCCGACACGCTGCCCCGATCAAGGAGTTACTCAGGCAATGGAGCTGGAACCAGCGGCAGTGGGGAGAGGGAAAGAGAAAAGGACAGGGACAGAGACCGCGAGAGCGGAGGACGTCATGGCCATGGTCACAATTCGCGGAGAAGAAGGCGACGCAAGTCCTCTTCATCAGGACATCATCGCAGCGGCAGTGGCCACAGATCGCACTCCACCACTCGGGCGGACACCTATGCTCCGGCACAGCCTTTGTCGTCCTCCTACCAAGGTCCTCCCTCCGCCCTGCAGTCTGCCAACTTGGCGCAGGAGATGGAGGCCCACAAGTCGCCCAGCCGACAGCAGAGGGAGAGGGAGCGGGAAAGGGAGCGAGAGGAATCCGAGGAGTCGGACGTGTGCTCCACTTGCTCCTCAAGCTCCTCCAGCTCCGAGGACTACATGATGTACCAGCTGCCGCAGAGGCGTCACTACGGAGGCGTGAGGGTGAGCTACGTGCCCAACGATGCCCTGGCCTACGATCGCAAGAGGAAACCCAGCGAAATGGGCGGCGACAAGGACAAGAATTGCATCATCTCGTGATGCAACTGGCCGGCCGGAGGGCGTTTTAATCAGAGCCCAGAACGCAGAAGGAGATCCCATCCAGAGTTATTAATGAGGTGCCCTGGGCAAATCCAACTAGTGGCTAACAAAGTGGCCCACAACGCTCGCGGAGATCATCAATTCTGCGGAGTGGATGCCACTGCCACACGACAAAGCAAAATAAAGTTCAACTTGACATTAAGGCGACTACTAGTTAAGGTCTACACACACATTGCATATGAGACTCCTTGGGAGGAGAAACCCTACAATACGAGAAAATCTGTTCCAAATACACATCCCTAGTTAAGCCAACTAATGTTTCAACCTATATATTTTTATAGCAAGAGGAGATATTTTGGAGATGAACCTATTTATAAAGTATATATTTATATTTATTGCATCAACTAGGATTAGAGATTGCTTTAAGGCTACCTTTTACATTCAGAGATTTAAGTTCTTTGCGAGGACTTGCGATTGGGCTAATGAAACACTACAATAATATAGATTTAAGCCGAAATACTGTATGACATTCATAAGAATAAAGTGTTCAAAGAGAAATTATTGTTCTTTTAAAAGGAGAGTCACAAAATAGTTCCTGAAACTTTAGCCTAATATTCCATGGCATTTGGTGACTACCATACATAGGTGCCTCTCTTCGATGGGATCGTTGTTAATATCTGGCCTGTAATTATGCACCAGATAATGAATACAAATTACGCGCATGTCGAGCATTTGCATGCTGGGCCTCCACCGAAGGCAACAACTACTGCCCGTACATGGAAATTAAAATCGAAAATAAAACTGGTGGCTGGTGGAATTCTGCATGCTGCCAGCTAATAAGTTGATGGTAAATTATGGCAGACCTGGTCCCCCGATCCGAGGACGCCAGCAATAGGGCCAGCAGTGGCAGGAGTGGCAAGAGCCAGTTGGCAACCGACTCCAAGTAAGAGCAATCACATGCATGCAACGCTTGCTGCAGGGCGTAATTAGCAAATAATGCCAGCCACTCCGGTGGGGGACAAAAGTGGTGGTTAGGGCATCATCATCATCGTTGAGTGGGTCCCATGTTCCTGCTTACTTTGTTAGAATCAACAACTCGCGCCCCAGCCGTCAATTGAGCAATGTTTGCCAACATTCCAATGGTTACCCCTGTGCACGGAGCAAAATAATTTAATTTTAATGGTGAGACATTAAGTAACAAGTCATAGGTAGTACTTCTAATAGTATCTTATATACATACACGCAATTATTTATAAAGCTTGAAAGATTTAAGGTCTCTGAAACATCTATATGATTGATGCCTCAACCCAGATATTATCTCTGCCTGTGTACGCCGATTGGGAGTCAACAAAATCATTGGCAGCTGTGTAATTTGTGGCAAACCCAGACCGTGTCCAGTTTGTCACCAGCCCCCTTGTAGCTGGCAGCTTCTGGCTAATGGGCACTTAATAACGGTCTCCCTGCCGCATGCCACCACCTGCATGCAACTTGCTGCGGGACGAGCGATGCGACCGAGCGATAAGCTACCGAAATTGTCTGCGTCTGGCATTGATAAGCCAAATGACTTTGGCGTTAACGCACAGGACTACACAGGACACTACCTCGCAAATCGGAATGGGGGGGCAATCGCACTGCACAGGAATCAGGATGCTGGACACCAAGGGCAAGGACTCTTATGGCCACGCAACTTTTGCAATTGTAATTCCACAAAGTTTCTCCGGCTTGCGAGATGAGGAGTGAGGCCAAATGCATTTGCCAGATAGATTTTTGTTGTTAGATGCCATTTTTCGTTATAATCCAGCGTCGGGCTGACACAGACAATGGGCGGCGGCGGCGGGCTTTCACTGCTTTCCCCAGGATCTACCCAGCTTTCACTCGATGCGTGCGCCTTTGTGTTTTATTGCATGTCATTTCCGTTGCCGTTTCCTCCGGCCACTAGCATACTTTTGATGATTGGTCTGCTCCTGTCTGGCGGGCATCCTGCCACTGGGTTGGCAGAATGCAATGCCACCATTACGTTTATCCTGCCACACACATACCCATGCAGGCCCCATACATAAATATATAAAGCCCCATCCCATCGGACAATCCTACACTTGTACATCAGATATGGCAGAATTTATATTCGCATTTCCGACGCTCATTTTTATCATGACCGAAAAACTGTGAGCCAAACTCTGAGGGCACCACCAACAAATTGTAAATGTGCCGTACTTATTTTCCGGGTGATCGGGGCCGTAGGAGTGGTAACTGGTGGCTGGACAAACACACAACCGGAGAGCCGGCCCGTGGCGACTTTTATTGTGGTCGCCACTGCATGGGACAATCTGCTCGTGGCATTTGGTTGCGCATTTCCAGGCGATTGTTTCTCACATTTTCTATCCTCAATGGCGATAGAGTGTGAAGTGAGTGGCTTTAAAAGGTTGAATGAAAATGAAAGGACTTGGTTTAAAATTTTAAGGTTAAGGTAATTAAAGAGTTGACAGAGATGAAAGCTTCGATAGGGATTATTTATCCCCTAAAGACTTTAAAATATGAGAAGGTGATTAAAGGATAGATAGATTAGGATAGATTATTCCGTCCTCGAACACATCTGTCTACTAACAAACATCAATATTTTAAAATGAAATGTAACACCAGTAATTAAATTTTAAAGCAAACCTGTAACAGCTTCTTCATCGGTTTCGATTAGTTCAACGTGTAATTGACAGTGAAATTTATGGCGTCTGACACGAAACAAAAACAATTCAAAAACTAAAGTCAATTTCGCACAATTCGGTTATGAAAATGTTATTAACTCCGGGGGATGAAATGAAAAAAATGCGTAATTTATGTGCCACAAAAGCTGATTATTGCAGCAATTTCCCGCATTCCCAGCTCAACTCCCACGAACCTGACCAATATGCTGGCACTGGAATGGGGCTAATGGCGCAGCTTTCAGCAATTGTTTACTGGCCCATTAATTAATACAAATATAAATTGGCAATATGAGTGCGTGCTGCTCACACTTGGCCGAAACATCAGTGGCTGGAAAACAATGAATCAACCGTAGGCCCGGATCCGGTCCGGCCGTGTCCGTCCATAGGGCTTGGTCGGACAAAACGCATAAATAACCACGAAATGGCCGGGCCAAAACAGAAATGAAAAAATATATATACAAAATATATATATATATATGTATGTGGATACCCTTGTTCGCCTAGAACGTTTAATTAATTTTTAGCGTGCTCTGCAGACGGTCCCCCCGAAAAAACAAAAACAAAAAAAAATAAACAATTATTAATATTCGCCAGGCCTGGAGACACGTACCCCCACGTCCGCACTTTCCTTGCGGATCCATTAAAAAGGATACATCATGGTAGCTAATAATAATCATGTCCTGACACACACACACTCACTCCCCCTCCCAAGGACTTAAAGAGATAGCGGAAGCCACCGGCAAAAATCATAAACAGAGGCGGAATTAAATTAAGCGTTATTGATGGAGGACACATGTCCTTGCCAAGCTCTCCGCAGCGCCGCAAATGTTTCAGAATTCTGGTATTTATCGCATCATATTCTTGGGAAGAAGACCAACAAGTCAGGGCAGTATAGTCATAAAAGGATATAGGACAGTGGAACTATTCGAATATCAAATGGAATATCATTTGGCAAGGATGAGTTTCGTTTAGTTGACTTTTAATCTATAAGGTATTACTTTATTTTATTGGTATGATATATTTAATATTTTCAATTGAATCTAGTTCATATTTTATTAAATAAGAGTACACCCACTGTCTCCCCATATTCGTGCTTGGCATTTCTATATTTTTAGTAACAGTATCCCACTATTATTAGCCGAGCAGACTTTGTCTAATGTCCAAATCTAATTAAAGCTGCACTGGTCAGCAACTAAACACCCCCTCATATATGACTCCCTGGCTGTAAGTAGCGGGGGTGTGGTACTTTAAGTCGGTTGTGGCCACTGCTGGCAAAATAAATGCCACAAATAATCATAAAACTAATGCCACAGACATTGCCAGTTCCCCCACCAGTGCACCAGCCACCAGGAACTGCTTCCACCGAAAACCAGTCTCGCTTTCTGACTCCAGATTCTGTTACTCTGTTGCGTATTTATTATAGTTATGGATTTTTTCTCTCAGCTGCCTTGTGCCCTGGCCAGGATACGGAACTGGTGTCTGTTTCTTATTTGGATTTGCACTTTGCTTTTGTTGTGTCTAGAAAAACTTCATATTTTATTATGAATTTATGATCAGCGAAGCTTGTAATATGTTTATTGCCCAAGCTCGAAGTAATTTGAAAAATGTTTTTCAGGCTTTAAACTTTTGAGTTAAATATTAGCTACAAATTCTTTAAGATTAAAGATGAAATCTTTAATTAAATACACATGCTTGCCGTATTGATAACGAATGGTTCGACAGCTCCAAGACAAAACAAATTCCGCAAAGTGGAACTTTTAATTAAGTCGGGACTTCCGCTTCCGTTTGGCTGCCTCTGAGGCCTAAGTAGCCCAATACAACCATCTAAATAATTAAAATATGCAAATGCCGCCTAATCCGGACCGGCGACACGTACACGCAGACACAACCGAAACGAAACGAATCGGGTAATGGAGTGGGATATACTATATATACGGATATAGAGCGGGACAGTCGGACTACCAGCGATTTGCTTAAATTATTCATAGCAATGCAGTTTTCCACGAAGTGGGCTCTCGAATCGGCTATACTATGGCAGGTAGTAAATTAAATAAATGACTCGCCCCGAATCGTCGGCGTGAAAGTTTCAACAACACTTTGTTTGAAGCAATTAATTCCCGGGTCTCTCAAATGTATGCTTCGTTTTATTTGCGTAGCTATGGAGCTCGGTAGACCTGTTTCCCAGGACTCCCCGGGTCGCGCCAGGATTCTGGTAGCTAAAATATTCAATTATCGAAGTGGTGCATAGGCTTTGGCAACTTTTATGCCCGCCATCGTTTTGCTTAATTGTAAAAGTTTTATGTGCAGCACTTTTTTTTAAAGCCCGAAATTTTATTCGTGTTTTTACAACTTTTTTCTTGGCCTTTGGCCGTTGGTCCGTTGGTCGTGCCTCGCAATGTTTGTTTCCGTTTGTTGTTAAAAGAAGGGAAAAACATAATTTTTAATTTCGTGTGGCGCATCGTTTTTATTGGTTTTTAATTTCGTTGTGGCAGACATGGTCCACCGCTTGTCCTTTTCCAGCGCACCGTGTAAACAGCATCCTTAGAAGTTGCTTACCAAAAAAAAAATGCTAAAAGAAATGGTTTTCAGCTCTACAGTTCCTCCTGTGGCCCAATGGGCTGTCATAAAGCGTTAGCGTTGCTTTGTGTGCTGCGTCGTCAACGATATCATCATCGTCATCAGCGGCGCCAGGACGAAGGCTGGGCTGGGCTGGGCTGGGCTGGGCTGGGCTAGGAGTCCTTTCCGCTGCGTGCAAATATGCTTTGTCTATAGCATTCGTTTTAATTTTTCTCTTTTTGTGTTTCCTCGGCTTGTGCTTCCTTTTGCTGTTGTTACTTTTTCATTACTTTGGCTTAAAATTGATATGAAACTTTTTGCTCACACTCGTGGCCAAAGGAGTCCTTGCCATCAATACGCTTCATGTTTACTTTTCCCCACACACACACACTAACAGTCTCTTTCGAATGTCTGACTGTCTGTCTGTTGCTGTGTCTGCCCATGGAGTCCTTGCTTTCATGGGTTTTTAATTACGACAAGAATAACAATATCATGTGCTACCCCCCTGGACTGGACTGACTGTCCAGGTCTTTAAACTCCTTGCAAGTTCTCCGAAAAACGCAAAAGGACTAAACTAATCAAAACGATAAATAAAATCTAAATTTCAAATGAATCTATAAATCAAATTGTATTTGCGTATTCAAATCAAATCCTCCCCCGGGATGGGAAACATAATTCGATTGCAACATCGTTTCACTCTAAACTTTATTATCTCAGGCGCAGTAAGCAGACAATCCCCGGGCATTCCATCAGATTTGACTCATTGTCGGCATTGCTAAAATATAGCTTAAATATTTGATGTATCATGCATATGCCATGAGCCAGGAGACCCCCTTGCCAACACGGCAAAGTAAAGCCCAAGAAAAAACAACCACTCTACGATAAAAAAAAAAACCGTCGAAAAATGCAAAGTAAACATTGCGCATACGCCGGGTGGACCCCTCGGGTGGCAAAGCAACACTTGCCTGTAACTTTCAGGTGGCATGGCAAAGCGCTAAACGTTGTTTGCCATTCGGATATCGAAAGTTATAAAGCATGAAATCAGTGCCATCCACTGCCATGTGGTGTTGATAACAGGGAAGGTAGGAGTTGTGACATTGTAAGAATATGAGGACATAATTTTTGAGATTTTAGAAGTTCTACTGATAAACATTTTACCCTCCAAGGACTAAGGCCAACAAGGCAATCAAATAAATACCTTTTTATACATATTCGTACTAGTACTTAGTTTTTCTCCAAGTGCAAAGTGGCAAGGAGATTAGGTTTGGGGGTTTCAAGGGGCGTCGGAGCGAAGGTAAAACTTGGCGGCATATTTAAATGTGGCTGCAGGGCAGACACAAGGGCAGGGGCTGATGGGGTTGCTGATGAGGATGGAGGACTGGAGATACGGAAACTCCGCCACTGGCAGACAGTCAAAAATGCCGAAAATGTGGTGGGTGCTAGTGGAATTTTCGGCAAAACAGGAGTTTCGCATTTGCGGTGATAATCAAAGTCCTGATCAAGTTCTAGGCCTAGGGGGCAGCCACTCGAAGATGAACTTAAAGTTTTTTGGGAAAATAAACGCCCCAAAACAAATGGAGTTTTCTTCGTCTGTCCAACGTTGTCTACCGTCTTTCGTTTGTCGTTCTGGACCGGAGGCTTTTGCTCTTAATTTTCCGCTTGTGGTTTTTTATTTTTGTAATTTTCTACTTTGTGGTTGCATTAGAGAGTGGTGGAAAGGAAAAAAAGCCGAGGCAGAGATAGTGGTTCGGCCCGTGTAATTATCTGCTTATGTTGCTGCGCTTTTGCCCCGCTCCTTTGTTGGCAACATCGTTATTGTGCCTCTGCCACAGCCACAGCCACTGCTACTGCCACTGCCTTTGTGGCAAAACAAAGTTTCGCTGTTTTGACGTTTTGGAGTAAAGCTGCTTAGGCGAGTCTGCAACCTGAGCAGGCGGAAATTGCATGGAAGCGGAAGTAATTGACAGTGGCATGGGCCCACGGGGGAGGGGCCTCTAATTTGGTCTTGTAATTAGCAAAGCTGTAATGACCTTCTTCTCGGAGAGGCAGCCCGAGAGCAATCGAAATGCGGTCAGAAATGGCAGAGCCACTCCTGGCCAACCGAAAGTTGGCAATCTGTTTGAGTTGCACTTCAATTACTTGTTTCAATGCCGCAATTACCATTCATTTGGCCAGAATAATGTGTCCTTGTCAACGCTGGCTGCTGCTAGTGGTCCTGGTACTCCTCCAAGTCCGGGCTCTGCCACTGCAGCTGTGGCCAGTCCTGGAAGATGCCTGCCTGCCGTAGACCTTGTTGTTTGCACCTTTGCTTTGGCAATTTACACATGGCAATGGCAATAATAAATCAAAAGTGAAAATGCAAATATTTTCCAACTCCAGACGGAGTGCACAGAGAAAAATCCCTGTAAAGAAGGCCACTATTAATGTTGAATTGTGAGAAAACAGACACAAGAATCGATTCAGTTTAAATGGGCATCAATTTTCACCCCCAAGTTGGGCGACTTCCTTTTTCCTTTCAGTGCAGAATAACAGCCAGACAAACATCCTGCAGGAAGCTAGACAATGCGGTTGTCTATGCTAAGCCGAAGGATGCCGGGGAGCTGGGGCGAGGATGTCCTGTAGATTTATTGGAGGTGACTGCTGAATTTCCATGTTGCAGTGTGGGTGTACAACACAGAGGCATCAATAAATAATTGGAAAATGAATGCTTTGCTTATGAGAGATTTCGCAAATGACCGGACAGACAATGGATGGAATATTTGATGGCATTTCCAAAAGGGTTTCCATCTGAATAAGTGATGGTTGTACTAACAGCACTCGATAGCCTTGAATCCAATTCACTTCGAACTGTGGCCAACTTCCGGCACTTATAGCCGGCAGTTCATCCGAAAATCCAGTATGGATCCTCAAATTAAATTCCCTCTTTCAACCACAAATCACCCAACATCACCCAACAAAGTAACAGCATCGTGACGCAAAATGCCACAATTAAAATGAAAATTAACAGCAAAAGCAAACTGTCAATAGAACTGTCACTTCTGACAGCCAGTTGACAATTGCAAATGAGCACGACACCGGCCGTGGCATGGCAGGGCACACACAGTCCGGAATTCAGTCAACGAAGCCACTTGGAGGGCTTCGAGATAAACTCATTATAGCAATTTATGCAAAATGCTCCAACCGCAATTGAAAATCCATTTTAAATTGAAAATGCCACCGAAAAAGTGGTCTCCCCTCTCAACCCACAGCCCAGGTCTGTGGAAAAGGATGGGCCACCCCCAGGTCCTGCCTGTTTGCCATGTTGCGGTAACTGCCCCATTTCGTTGCCAACCCCCTTTGTTGCCGTTTGTTGGTGTTGTGTTTGCTGAGCTGCCTTCATTGATGCATATGAATTCAATTATAAAACAAACGCCACCTTCGGGGGTGTCTCTATCCGGAGAATGGGGAGCAGGAGGGCTTGGCTTGCGACCGCGGCCATGGCCACGACCACTTCTCTAATGAAACTGTTTTTTTGCCAAAGCGAGAGCAAAACTTGTTAATTTTATGCACCAGACAATGAGGACACACAGGACACGCCACTGTCCGGGTGTCTCCCCGGCGCTCCAAGCGCCGTATTTACATTTCCGGCGGCATTTGCATATTGCCTGCATAAAAATCAAAGGACCAGCTGCCAGCGGAAACAAAGAAAGTACACCAAGAAAAATATAAGAATTTAAATAAAAAAACTGGACAATTTTACCTTCAAAATTGTGATGCATTGTATTATAATGTTACCTTTGAAGTTCTTGATTTCAGGACACCTTTTCTTAAGGTGCAGTTAAGAAAAAGCCAAAGCCCAAAGGAAGTTCACATTTTTGCCGCATGGATGGTCGGGGCGCGTAGGCGTTCACCTGCCACCAAATGGCGGGAAGCAAGCAGCAGGCCTGGGGGGGCGGCATAAATAACGGCACAAGCACCAAATACAACACAAAAGGCGTTCGGCTGGGGCAAGTCAACTGGTCCCCACTTGACACCTCATAATAAAATTAAGTATACGCCACTCGAGCCGAACGATAGGAGCAGCCCCGTAACTCCGTTGTTATTTATGCCCTCGCCAGGACTGTGGGACGCCAGGACGCCAGGACGACACTAGGACACAGCAGAGGACCAGCGGAAAACACAGCGTGCAGTCGTCCGTCTTTGAAGTTTATTTGCGTATTTCGAGTGCGCCTGGCGCCGCTCATTTCAATTTTCCAAGCGCGCCCTTTGGTCCTGGCCGGGGTATCCTTTTGTTGTTGTTGATGGCGTTGTTTATGTTGATGCTGTTCACTGCTCCTGTTTTTCCTGTTGCCTCTGGCAATTGTTTAACTAGTTGGTGTCAGTTATAATGAATTTTAAATTAAGTTGTTATTGCTGTTCGGCTGGCACTAAACGATCTTTCGGCTGTTGTTCCGACAGAAGCAGTTTATTTGCATAATAAAGGACATGACTAATGTTAATTAAATTGCAGCAGACAGCGACTAGGTTTTTGTGAGTTTTAATTAAAAAGAGCAAGCAGGCAACAAGGAAATGGCTCAATTTTTGTTAGATTCTATTACATGTCTACTGCCCTAAAGTATGCCATGGAATTATACATACCTATTATCTCACAAAACCCACTATAAATTTTGTTATGTCAATAGAAAGACTAATTGCTGAGGACACAGAATATTTATTATTCAAATCAAACCAGAACATCTTTCAAATAGGAGCCCCTCCGAACCAAAAGTCTTAGTTCTTTGATATTTCTAAACCATACTTTCGGGCTGGAGGTAAAGCAAACAGTGCTGAAAGTTTGGTCTGAATCCACACATTCATTTGACTTTATTTCAAGCACAACATTTTGCTTTAATCTACAATCTATTTTGTGTAACAATCTAAGAAGCCAATTCAAAGCATTTCTCTCCTCTTGCAGCAAACTATTTGCATGCCAGTAGCCAGGAGCCTGGATGCCGACTCCGGCAGTCCGATTAAATCCTTTCAAACGACAAGCATATGCAAATGCCAAACAACCAGCCAGGCCAACAGGCAGCAACAACTTTTTGCATTACTCGGATTGCTGGCCAAGTGAAAAACAGAAATTGGAGAAAGCCAAGAGTAGGAGACAGGACAGGAGGCATGCGGCATGAGTAGAGGTATCCTGTAGTTTCGAGTGCTGGGTTTTCGGTCTTTCAGCTCATTTGTTGGTGACGCCACGCAGCATGGTGAAGTAGGAGTACGACGCATTCAACAGACTCCGGAACATGGCCAAAGTCATGGGGTAAACGTTGCCAACTGTTATCTGCGAGATGAAATGGAGCGCACCGCACCCGAAATGGAAATGGATTAGTATCATGGACTGGCTACCATTCGGAGTGCCCGAAACCCACCTCCAACGGATGTTGCGTTTGCATCAAGAAGATCAGAAGGGTTTTGCGGAAACGAATGCTGCCCCTGTACCACGGCACGTTGTAAACGGCCTCTGCCACATGGCAGTTCTACAAAAGGACCCACCTCTTTGTAATCCACAAATTAAATTATTTTCAAGACTCACCTCAATGGAGAGATCATTGGCGCGATTGTAGTAAGTGTACAGGACATACAACATCGTGAATATGTACATTATAATTGAGATGATCTGGGTGGGAGATGTTATCTAAACGATATTACAGAATTATTGTATAATATCATTAAGATCCAGGAACTATATCTTACTATGTTCAGACAAAAGAGCAGGGAGCAGATTATCGAGCCAAAGATAATTGCTTCGGCGGCCACAATGTTGGTAACTAAATCGTTGAGCCGCCTCACATAGCTGAAACGGAAATGAGAGGCCTATAGGGGCCAAAACCACTTGCCAAAACCCCAACCCCTCTTACCCTATCACCCGAATGTGGTACTGAATGCAATCGCATAGCATTTGGAACCGGACCTCCTCCGTCTGGCCCTCTCCCCCGATCTGGCGCAATCGGTGGACCAAAATCTGAAGCATAGCTTTGCCAAAGATGGCCAGGCCGGCAAAGAGGCTGACAAACGGCATGTACATCATGGACAGCAGCGCTGGGGTGGGCAACTGGGCCAAGTAAACAATTTCGTAAACGGGCGTACGGGTCATGTTAACTCCGGGCAATTCCACCCCAAAAGGATGGGCTGCAAGTAGAATCAAACCAATGGAATCTATGCAAATTGAAGATGCATAGATTTCGGCACTCGGAAAAATAATTAATTGATTTTAAAAATATATATATAAAGAACTATATTATATATACTTTTCCATATCTATCTATATAGTTTTCATCTAGTTTTTTCAAGTCACTTTAGTCTCTACTTAAACCTAACTTCTTTCTTTGTGTCCACTAACCTCTAACCTCCCGAAACAATGGCGATATTAGAGCCCCCACAATGTCCAGAAAAGAGGCACTCAGATTGACAATGGCCAGGTGACGGGCCTCATGCTCCGCCTGCCGGAGAATGTCACGCCCCCACTCGTCGCTGTCCTCGCGAATCGAGTGGAAGAGGACGGACAACTGGTTCAAGAACTTCTCGAACTGGACCCGCTTGATTATGACCAGCCACGTGCGCATGAGGGCGTTGAAAATGGCCGAAAAGAAGAACATGTTGAGGATGAAGGCGGGCAGGTCGCCCCACGACTGCAGCAGGTAGAGGAACTGCATAAAGTTCATTGCGGTCACGGGCAGGACGAAAGCGTACTTCCGCCAGTTAGTGCCCGGGGTGGGATAAAGCACGGCCAAGTACCGCCACATCCGCACGTTGATGCCCACCAGGCCAATATCCTCGATGGCTGCTCCTCCGCCTGCTCCCATGGCTGATTCTTTGCCAGATCCACTTCAAACTGTACCACAAAGTGCTGAGCAAATGTCTTTTATTTCGCAGCAATTGTCGCTTTGCCATCAAGGACAGCAATCTAAGGGGGCCCGTTGGCAATATAAATGGGATTAGGAAATGGAAATGGGTGAGCAAGTGGTGGATGGGAGTGGGAACTGAAGCCATTTGGCAATTGTCGTTTGCGAGGTCTATAATTTAGCTAATTGGCTAATGATGAGTGTAATGTAATTGGAGTGCGATTGCAATGTGATTGGATATTAGGCGATCTAGATGGAAGAACGTTAAGGGAATTTGCATTTTAAATTTCATTTCACTAATCAGAAAACCCAATATTTAGTATTCCTTTTCAATATTTATTCAAAGAAAATATTTCAATGGCTTTTCAAATATTTTCTTGAGATCCCGTTTAACAAACTCTCTTTGAATTAAAGCTACACCAATATGGAAATCCCCATTTAATTTGGCAATCGATTTTGCTCCACTCCTCCTCGGATCTCGTGTCGAAAATCCCTGTCTGAAAAGGTCTTCCACGCTCTGTCGCACAGACAGTCAAAAAGCCAACGAGCCGCTAACGTTGGCAGTGAGGAACAAGGCCGGAAAAAAGGACAGAGGTGTGGGCGATGGCCGGACAGGTTGGAGAGTCCGCTGCGATGGCTGGAATGACTTATTAAACAATAAAACCGGATTATCCGCAAACAACTGAGCAAACATGCCAGAGCCAAATATTTCGGCCTGGTCGCTTATCATCCTTGCAGGCGAAAGTCCAGCCGGAACAGGATCCCAATCCAGTTCAGACACAACAGAGGAAAAAAAAACAATATAAAAATCAACAAGCGCCCGACTGGCATAACATAATTCAGCAACAATGCTGGCTCAGCAAATATGGCGAAGGAATTAAAATGGGAACAGGAGGAGGACCACAAGCCAACAGGCCACCAAGCCAGCAAGCCACCGAAGCAACCAGGAAACGAAGCCAGAAAGGAGTCCAATGCCAATGCCATGGCCAAGCCCATAAAGGCACACATTATGGCCACTTAACCGCGCGTTATGCCGCAAAAAGGCAAAAGGACAAAGCCGAAAGGCAAAGAAGGTTCGGCACTGGCGGCGTATGCGCAATATTTTGTGCAAACATGCTTCATGCTTCATGGGTGGTGGTGTTCCAAAGGGGGGGCCAAGGCTTGGGGGAGGACAAATATGCAATGTCAGTTACAGCTGCCCCATTTGGTTGCTCATACGCAGCGTTGCACATAAATCAAATGGTAGGCCAGCCTTTTGTGCAATTCCAACACGGAGCGAAGAGGACATCCGTACTTCTAACGTTCGAAACTTTCAAATTTTAAACTTGAAAGCCAGACTTTGTCTTTCTCTCAGTGTTCTGTCTAGGTAATTACCTTGGCAACAGCCATTTTCGAAGGACAATTTATTATAAATTAAAATGCTAAGCAGGGCAAATGAGGACATTTAATTATCACATGCTGGAGAGGATCTTAGTCGAGTCCGGGCTATAGACGGGAAATGGCCATTATACGCACGCAGACATCAAAGTCGAGAACGCCAAGCCGGAGCTCCATCTGCGGAGGGACTGAGAACCCCATAAACCACCGGATGACATTAATTACGGGTCCGACCAGGCCAGCCCAGAGCATTGAAAGCAATCAGAGGAGGGTGGGCGGCGGCAGGGATGAGTGTGTTCGGGTCCAGGATCCCTTCCGGCTTGTATAAAATTAATATCGAGTAATTAACAAGGGCAGCCAGTTACAGGGCCTGTGATTTGGCAGTACCCCTCGAAACAGTCAATTGTGTGGAGTCCCAATATTGACTTTGGCACATGGCCTGGCCACCAGGTCTGCTTAAGAGGCTTTTTGCCAATTAGGCAGCTCACTATGCTTAGCCTGGAATTGGGCTTTAAAGTATGGAATCGCTTTCGGCCTAAACCCTCGAGCTGCTTTATTGTTTCTGGAGCTCAACTGCATCAGCTGTTCAAGTCGGTCTCGGCCCTGGTTACACAAGCATACCTAATGCGGCTTAGTTTTTGTTAACGATTTGCAAACATGTGTGCCACTCCGCTCCAGCACAGAGCCACCCCCACGGCCGGAACAAAAGCGGTCTTCACTTTGATGGCAGCGGGCCATGCGAGTTCTCTCCGGGCCATGTCGTCACTGTATTGACGGACTGGCGTGGGCCGGTTGGATGAGTAAGCCGGCGTAAGAAAATGAGAATCGTTTGTTTGCGGATAATAAACCATCTCAAAGAATGTACAAAGCTTCCCAAACTATATACATTTCAAAAGGGGGATATCTGGCAAAAAAAAAAGCCCAGATAACAGCATCGGATGACGATTCACGTGGAGTTCGAGGCCGTTGGGAATTCCGGAGACCGGAGACTACTGTGTAAATAATGGAAAAGTATTAATAAGCCAATCGAGGTCACAACATGAAATTATTTTTATTCCCTCTCATTTGGGGCATGAAGGTCTCATGAAACATCCATCACGATTGCCTGAAATCTAAAATTAAACCCAAAAGCAACACAGTTCCGGTGATTTCATATGTTTTGATAAGATTCTAGCAAGCCTTCTGCTAAAAATCGCGATACACTTCGCATCTCATTGGCACTGTGGGACTCACTTTGACTTTCACAATTCAATTCGAGCCTCGAATGATTAATATTTATGTGGGAAAAGTAAATTAAAATATTTAAACTGGAACACATAAATGTATATTATATTTTTTCTATTTTTCTGAAGATACAAATCATTTTTATTTAGTCATAATATTGACTAAGCTCATTGCAAGCGAAACAAAAGATTTATGTGAGTGGCGGGTGCACTCCCCTTTTTGTGGAGATTGCGAATATTTTACAAGCTAAAAAGTCTACTTTGGTGGTTTTTTGTGCGCGACCTGAGATTTGGATGAGTGGGATTAGGGCAGATTACAGCCCACTTGGGTGACAACCTTGGCGGCCACGTCCGAGGCCATGCGAACGCACTCGCCCAGCGGACGTTTCTCCAGCCAGGCGTGCAGGAAGCCGGCCACAAAGGCATCTCCGGCTCCCGTGGCGTCCACCAGATGCTCCACACGCGGCGCTCTGTAGTCTTCAAAGGTGAGCGGGCCTGGGGATCCCAGCTCCGTCACGTAGTTGGTGATTACTTGGACGCCGGCACTTCCTTTTGTGATGAACAGAACCTTAGTGTCACCGCCGCTGAACAATTCCTCGGCTAGCTTGTCGATGCTATTGTGGCCCGTTGCCTCGGCCAGAGCCTCGAACTCCTGATGGTTGCCAAAAACGAAGAAAGCGAGGCGGGCCAGTTTCAGCATGACATGGGAATTCTTACGAACTATGTAGGGGGCACTGAGATTGAGGGCCAGGCGGCGTCGCTCCCTCACTAGTTGCTGCACAATATATTCACACACATCCCCCCTCTGAGGCACAAAGAATCCCTCCACATACAGAATCTGCTTGCGTTCCACAGGTCTCAGGAAACTCTGGCCATCGTGGCTGACAGCATGGCTGAGGGTTTCCAATGCAAACTCCGCCGAGGCACCAATATTGGCGTACAGAGTGGGGTTATCCTTATACATGAGAGCCACACATTGGCCAGTGTGCACCGTCTCCACGGTCTGGAGGCAGGCTTCAATGCCCCGTTCCCGCAAGATCTTGCGCAGCTCCTCGGCCGATTCGTCGGCTCCAACAGCTCCAAAGAATAATACATCTGTGCCCAGTTGCTTGAGGATGCGGGCTGTGTTGAGGGCTGAACCACCAGGATTCGTAAGGCACTGAGAACTGAAAAAAGGATGTCGGTTAGTTAAAGACTAGAGGGTTTAAATATTTAATATCTTACCTGGCTGAAGCCTCTTGGGCCAGTTGGTTGAGTATTTCCATATCCAGCTCACCCTTGGAGCCTAGTTTAAGGTCATATCGTTGCAGAAGCTCCGGGTCCTCCAGCTTCACCAGACGGTCCAGCAAAACATTGCCGAAGCAAATCACTTTCCGCGGTCTACAAACCAGAAGGGAAATACCAGAAGTTAGTGGGGATTTCTTTCAGTGCCGGAAAAGCTTCTACTAGAACTTTTCCGCGTTTCCCATCTACTCACGTGTGGAAAACCCCTTGCGTGTCGTCGGTGGGTGGATTGCCACCGAAAATTTTCTCATAGACGTAGCCCAGGTACTCCATTGTATGCAAAAACTAACGAGCAGTCGGGACTTTTAGCGTTCTATTTGCGCGAAGTGTGAACTGGCAGATCCGTAGCTATTACGGCAACATCCACTGCTTCCGTCTGCCTACAACCAACTGATTGACCGAGCCGGTTTCTCCGCGTGTTTTTATTTCGCTCGCACCGGCGAGTTTTTTCCCAATTGGCCCATTTCTGGCAATTATCTCGGGTCAACTTCTTTTCTTTTGTTCGCGGCTTACAAACAATCTTGGTCAGTACCTTTTGGCCAGTATCTTCGCATCTTGTTCTTTTTCTGTCTTCTTTGACTTTGATGGTGTCTTTCAATAACATTGAGCTTTTTGGCGAGCGTTGGTGGTTGTCTTCCGTCTGTGTTGGTTAACGGAATTAATGACTGCAAGCTCACTTTAAAATGTCATCCACTTATCCATAATGACTTTATTGTATAATTTATGCCTTCTAATTACAACGCTTATTACATAAAACATTTAGCTTGGTGTGGGTTTGTAAGTATTTGGAAGCTTATCAACACTACGTGCTTATAGAAACAGCTGTTTGAATGTTTTTGTTTACATGGAAGAAGAAGCAAACCGGAAAGCGCCAAAAGAGAGCCATGCCAAGCTTTCGGAGCGAGCTTAGCCATAGGGTTGCCACTGGCGGTGAAATGAAAGCGCGAAAAGTACGTTAGTGTTTAAATATGTTTGTTCATTATTTGAAATGTAATTAAATGCGGGAACAGTTTATAGAATTAATTTAAAAAGTAAACAAAATGGTTTTTATTTGATAGTTTAAGCTACAGTTATAAAAAAACTAAATTTATAATTTCTTAAGCAATAACCACATCTCATTTTGAAAATATTTTAGTTCAATGTTTTCTCCTACACTGTCTTGCAATGATTTAAGAATTTCACAATCAGATTTAATTATCATATAAAATCAATTGATTTTTTTATAACATACATTATTCTAGAAAAAATTAGGACGTTTTTATAATCTATTCCTTAAAGTAATTGAATAATAACTCTTTAAAATAAAGATAACATTTTAATTAATTATACAATGATTACAAGCTGCTAACATAGAAAAAGATAGCTGGGAATTACTATCTGTTGCCATTAACTTTCATCAATAGACTTGATAATCATTAAAAATATAAATATATAATAAGAGAAATTTATTGTTTACCTAAGAGTATTTCACCTGCAATTCTGCAGTACCATCACATCCACAACCTGAAAAATATTTCGCCAGTTTTTGTAAATATGTACATATCTACCCAATATTTCGCCACATAATTCAATGAGGGGATAAAGCGTTGAACTCTGGGAATCACCTCTCTGAGCGTGGACCCCCATAAAAGCAGATAACTCTTCAACAAAAAGAGGACAAGATTAAAAAATAACCTACCTCGAGGACAGATTCAATGGAGAAACTTAAAAAACTACTTGGGACTTGTTTGGGGCTTTTTCTTTGAGAACCAAGAGAATTGGGGTTTTTTCCAATGCCAGCGATAAAATGGAAATCCCTCAGCATAGCTGCAGTGCACACATAATTGCACTCTGGGGTCTGCACCAACCGACGGGGCATTCCGAGCCAAGCGGCCAGAGAGCCAGATTAGTCAGATCCGAGGCGTGTTTTTGGTGCACGTGAGACAGAAAACGACGCAGGTGACTGGCGGACCTCGGCTGACGGCTGACAGCAGGTAGGACAGGTAGCGCAGGGGTATGGACTTTGGACCGGCTTGGACCGAAAGCCGAATGCGGCTCAATGCAAACGCTTTTTCGGGGAAGTCTTGAAACCAGTTGGCGGTTGCCAACCAAACGCACTCTCTTTCGGTGTTGGCTTACTTTGGATCTCCGATGCTGTGGGTTTGGGCCCAGTTTAGTGCTGAGCCGCCGTGACTCAGCAGATGGGCATCCCAGACATGCAGCGATCACTCTGCGGCCCCAAGCTCCGATCAATGCCCATTGAGTGCAAAAGTTATTCAAAAAAACAACTCACACCACATGTGGTGAGGGCATGTTGCACTGCACATAATTGGGTGGCATGATACGCAACCCCAAGCCAGTGATGGCAATAATGTTATAATGAAAAGAGCCAAAAATAACTTTTAGGAATTAATTCTTGGAAAATTAAAAAAAAAAACAGATGGTTCGTTTTCGTTATCTTAAAATAGTTTATTAGTTTAAATAGGTCTTCAAAATAAATTTTAAAAATAAATGTTAGCAGAGTTTGGGGTTTTTATTAAAAGAATTTCTTAAGAAATGGTTCTACATTAATCAAAATTAGAATAGGAAATTATAAAAAAAATAAGAGCCTATTTATTAAACAAAAATTTAAATACATTTCTAAGAAGTCAAAACCCAAAGCTTCATTGAAAGTTTCAATAATAAAACTATTTACTATTCAAGATTAATTTTTTTAAGACTATGGAATTATATCAAACCTAATCAGTACTTAAGCTTGAAAAACCACCTCCGTTTGGGCACCTCCTTGGTGGCAACATGAACCTTATTTACAAGTTCATTGGCCATTTTTGAGGCAAATTTGGCGCGCAAATTGTGAGCCGCGTCTGCACTTTCTATTTCGGTTGCAGTTCTCAGCTCTTTTTTAATATTTTGATATCAATTTCGATTTGGGTAAGCGCCCCGTAAGCAGAGACGACTGTTTATGTTTTCGACGTCTTCATAGGTCAGTAATTAAATAGGGGGGCTGGGAGAAGAAGGTGGAGCTCTCGACTCCCCCAACAAATCTGTCCAGCTCAACTGTTTTATATTGGGGAAGTTCATTGATTTCATATTTTATTGTTTTCCCCATTACTGTTGACCAATTCAAATTACAATTCTTGTTTTTCTCCCCTTACCAGGAAGTTCGTTAAACCTTATGCAGAATATATTGTCAGTTTTCGAGGGGTAAAAATATTTTTAGGGCTTTGTTTTTGAAGTACAGTGTCGACAGATATTCAAATACTTTGTTTTTTTTTGTGAAATTATAATCCCCGTTTTAGGGGTGGCCTGACATGAAATGCAATCTCTCTATAGATTTATGGATCCGAAATTAGATCTTTGGAAAACAAAGCTAGAGCTAAAAATGGATATGGGAGTTTAATGGAGGGTACTACATCGTAAATCTAGACAGAATTATAGGCTGTTTTGGTGGTCTGATATTTATGGTCACGTTATTTTCAAAATGCACCTTCAGCAGAATGTCCAACTCAATTAATTGTAAACTATAAAAAATAACATGACTGACATGTGAGTACGTGTTTGTGTGCAGGTGCTATTTTTAACCGTGGTGGCTCGACAGAAATTCGTACACCCACCGAATTATGCTTGCCGAATCAAAATATAGTCACTTAGTTCGAAAACAAAAATAATTTATCATTAAAAAAATGTTAAAAAAAATGCATTATTGTGCGCTTCGTTTGTGGTGCGGTACTTGAACCCGGCGAGCATCGGGGAAACCGCCTCGAATGGCGTAGTTTGCGAGGTTCAATTGATAAAATTCTTGATTCCCCATTTCGACACGTTCCCACGTGCTTATTGTACGCCGGGAATGGAGTCCGGCGATAAATTGATTAGCAGCTTCCATTGTGCCCGCCCGATCGGTCTAATTTTGTTTGCCAACTCGTCTGGCAAACTCCCAAAAATATAAATCTCTTCCCAATTGGGTTTTATTCATTCTCGTTCGTGCGAATCCAGAACAGAAATAATATTACCTTGAAACCATTTCGAACCAACCAGTCAGCAAGGGGTCGCGCATTAATCATACGCCCCGTCTAGCCATCAAGTATACGCCGCGTTGGCCAATAGATTGACTAACCGTTAGGACCTGTTGATCACCTGCTGGCAGTGGGCCAATCTTTTGGGGCCCATTCACAAGATTCCCGCGAAAATCCCAGTGTGAACTGCCAGGAAAACCATTCAAGTGAAATTTATTGGCAGCCGTGAAACACTTTTTGCAGAAATTTGATGAACAAAATTGCGATTCACGCACCAAGTGATTTTTTTTCCACTGAAAGATAATAAAAAACGAACTCTTAATTTAAGGGAGGCACTTTCTCAAGAGCTCCCAGGTATGTGTGTGCGTGCGTGTGGGAGTGCAAAGATGAGACTGACAGGTTGCATGACCTCGATGTTTTTTTTTTTAAGGCTAACTGCAGTTGCAACCCGTGGAAAGAAACTCGGCGTCTTGCTAATTGCCTCAAAATTAACGGAAACATTTTCGATTTGCCGAAAAGACATGAAAAAAAAACCCGACCGATTCGAGCTGAGCAAAGCAGAAAGAGCGGAAGAGCAGGCCCCCGAAAAGCTCGCTCCATATTCCCCGCGATTGGGGCTCTCCCACGAGCTGGGGCCTCTCGCGCGGAGCAATTTCTGATGAAATTCAGTGGAATCGGTAGGCGACGGAGAGAGGCGCTATAAAAGCGCTCGCTCGCCACCAGTCGGCATTCATTGTGAAATTGCAAATCAAAATTGAAACAACGCGGACGACAAAACGGTCAGAACGGAACGCCAAGCGTGGAAAGAATTTCATAATCAAAAGTTAATCAAACGCTAATCGCAAGCAAGAAACAAAAACAATCAGTGCCAAAAGCCATAAAAGAAACTAATTGCCAAGCCAAAAGTGTCAAGCCAAGTGGAAGCTAACAGCTCGAAAATTTCGCAAAAGCCGTCAAGCAATCAAACCGCCAAACACATCAACAAAATGGTAGTCGAGGAGACCTGCACCATGCACTTGGATATGGATCTGGAGCTGGAAATCGATATGGCCATGGAGTGCGCCCCCATCGGTCGCACTGTTAAATCGGCCCTTGTCAGGGCCCAAAGCGAGTCCCGGGTGATCGTGGGACTGTCTGCTGCCATCAATGTGCTCTCCAAGTCACCGGAGGGCTCGCTCTTTTGCCTGATGGCGGTGCCCAAGGACGGCGATTCTGCCACCCACATGCACGAGGTGCTGCTGGAGGCCTTCTGCTACGAGAACGACATCTATGTGATCAAGGTGGACGATGCCACCAAGCTGAGCCGCATCCTCGGCCAGGAGACTGTGGAGTCGTGCTGCCTGGTGCAAAAGACCTGGGCCGGCAACCTGCAGGACGAGGAGGAGGAGCAGCTGACCAAAGCCGAGAACCAACTGGTCGACTACTGCGAGGCCCACTGGGACGCACCCCAGCATCCCATTGTCCAGCTGCCGGCTGTGTAAGCGGGTGTGAGCGAGACAGCCATTCATGATTGAACTGAACTGAGCCCCGCAGACAGTGGGCCAAACACGGTTTAAAGCAGATAAAAAAAATAACAAGAAATAACCTGTTGCTGGAGGTTGACGTACTCGTTACCGAGAATGTCTTGGAGAGTTCCTGAGGGAAACCGACGTTCCGGAGCCTGATGCGGCCACCATGTATACATAGGATATTTATATATACCCTTATATAACTGTATATATAGAGAAGAGATTGATAAGCCAGCGCCTTGGCGAATAATGGAAACTGAAAGGCGACCTTCGCGGCAGCAACTGCGGCAGCGAATGCAGTAGAACCTGCAGCGGAGACACCCGCGGAAGTCACACACACACACGCAGATCATCCAACACATACTGAAGCGCGTGACCAGCTGCTGCTTTGGAGCCCATACACCCCGAACACCCCATATACACTTACATACATATATGCAATTTGTTTTTGTATAATTTTTTTTCGCTTTAAGCGCCCCGCAAATTTACTGATAATGACAATTATTCTGTATGTCGTAAATTGTAAATTACACGTTTAAAGGAGAGCAGCAAATTACCCTCAAATTGCCTGTTCAAATTAAAGTTTTGTTATGTTAGCTTTTCCAAAAAAAAAAACACAAACATGAAAACATACAAAAAAAAAAAATGTTACTTAATTTTAAGATGAAAAAAATTAATTGAAAATTTTTAATAAAAAATGAAAAAGAAATAAAACAACTGATGTATAAAAACCAAAACTTTCTCTGTTTCTTTATTTTGTCGATCTTTCAGGCTTCTCTTTCAGAAATCGAACCCCTCATTTGACGTCAATGGCGGGCAAATCCCCTTGGATATATCAGAGTATTCCCAAAAAAAAAAATACATATCGGTAGCCGACTCATCCGTCTTTTCAAAAGCACGTCTGGGCTTCCCCCTCATCGGTCTCTTATCAATAAAATTCTCGGAAACGGCAATTATGAGGCTATGCATACAAATTATAGATGGTAGATGGTTATATAGTATGTTAGGATGTCCTCCATCTGTGCTATCCAAGCCTATAGTATATACGATTTTTGAAGAAATCTCGTGGTTTGACGATAACGGGTGTGAAATCCCTCAGTTTACCAACCCACTTCTCACAATCGCCAATAAATGCGAAAATTAATTAAAAGTATAGGTCATGCTTAGGTTTCGTAAAAAGTAACTAAAATAATGAAATGTGCCAACAAGTAGGGGTTTATAATTATTAAATTAATATATTTTAATGGAGTTTTATTTCCACCTGTCTGGCCTGTACTTGAGGGCATCCAATCGGAGCGTGTTAGCGATCATGCCAATTGCCTTAACTAACCAGACCAATGTTAAGCCGAAGAGACACCTTAATATAATCAATGCCAGACATCGGACAATGTTTGTTTAATGGACGATCCGAGACAAAGAGACACCACACTAGACAAGGGGCGGAGAAGAGCATGCGAGTGGGTCGTGTCGTGGGAAAATCACTGGAAAAAAGCAAACCACTGATTAGGACCATTAACACGAACGAGACGCTGCTCCAAGACATAGGTCAGTTCAGGCGGATCGTCTGGACACGACGACGATCTTTTTGGGGAAAAAAAACATGAACGGATGGTTAACGCATTATTATGGCAAACTTTCCATTCCGAGATGTCTTATAAGAGTAGCTTTTAAATCTAGTGATCTACTAATTAGTACAAGCGTCTAAAGAACTTATGAAGCTACTCAGACTGCTGGGTCATTCAGGTTACATCTTGGATTGCACAATTACTGAAATGGGTCAGCTTTAAGCGGTTCCAGATCCACCTAGTTATCACCTGAACTATTGTCTCAGTGCATTAGAACGACAGATGTGTGTAATTTACCCAATGTTTGTAGTTTAATTATCTACCCCATCCAGGTGATCTGTTACCGGCTGTTCCACCCATTATACAAGCTGATCCCCACTTAATCACGGCGTGTACTTTACCCCTCTACTCGAATCCAGCGTAAATTCCAAAAAACGACTCAACCCCACAGCCGGCCAAGTCATTCTCTGTTGAGTAATGCGGCCCATGCGGCCATTGACTGAACAATTGGAGTTGCTAGTGGAACCACTTTCTGGCTGACCAGCTAACCGGCCAACTCCCTCGGACCCAACATGCAAATATTTTGCACTCTGATCGGTGCCATATAGGGAATTGCGGCAAGAGCGTGACTTGGCGGGATTGCGTAGCCCCACCAGGTAGTACAAATTTCAAAGATTCACCTCCGAAGCGGCGATGTCGTCGAAGGTAAGTGATTCATATTGGCCGGTGATAGCCCCCCCACCGACCAGCTACCACCTGGAAATTAGCATAATTCTCAATGTGAAGCTCGCGTCAAGAGATCGCTCGGAATAGCCCCGATACTCGACCTACAGCCCGGTTGGCAAAACTAGTTTCGGGTCGGATTCGAGCGGCAAAGTCAAAGTCTGGCCAGCGTTCTCGGTGCTGGCCGGTGCTGCTGTACATGTGATTGCCATGAGCGCGTGCTGAACGCCAAGCGTGAAAGGCCCTCCCCCTTTTTGGCAGTCGAAGTCTTCATGGCTCTGAAACTGGATGGAATGCAAACATGTTTTTCTCGGCAAACACAAAAATATAAATATTATTATTTACATTTAAGCTGCGTTCCGGGGAACATTAAGCGGATTTCCCCGTCAGTGATAAGGTTATTCGGAATCGACTGAAAGCCGTATAGTATACGGGGCGTATTATGCGGCGTAGTACTATCAGTGTGGGGGTTATACCGACCGCACTGCGCATAGGATTTGTGGGGATACAAATGGATGGGCACTTAGAGCTACAAAATGCGGAGCAGTGGAAATCTCCAACCTGGCCTGGCTGATAAACGAGCCAAAATTTCCATAATTGGGCAATAATCAATTTTTTGGCTAACTGCGTTTCAATAGATTCCAGTAGCCTGAACTTTTCCGCAACCAATTGATTAGAGTTAGTCTAAGCTGATAATCATACGTGGATGTTAGGGAAATCCGAACTACCTTACTTATGAATGGAAAACGGGTTTTTTTTAGTGGGGAAAACTTTACAATCAGACCAGTTGGGGGTCTGGGATTTACCGGCAAACAACTGGCTTGCATTACTGCCACTTTAATGACTTTTATTATTGCACAATATTTGCTCCCTAGTCGCGGGGCTAGAGCTAGTCCTCTAATCATGAGTTCGCAAAAACCAGAGCGATTTCGGGCACCCGATAAGAAGCTAAAGATTGTGTAGCCGCCACGCTTCCCCAAAAGTTTCAATTACTTGAATTTCTGATTTAAATATTTAATTGTTTCTACGAAACACGCTTAATGCCTTTTAAGGAAACGCGTGTTCTTGGGAAGCAGAAAAAGATTGTGGTTTCCTTAGATTCTCAGAATATGACCCACTAAAGGATCCAAAAAAACATTTCACACCAACTGGTTTTGTCCAGTTCCTCACATGATCACACATTGGGTCGGGAAAACTAATGGAAAAATCAAACATAGTTCAATATAACAGTTAAATAAAGGCCGAACGTAAAACGCAATTGCACTTGCCGCCCTTCCCCCGACCGGAGGCCCTCCCCGGATCAAATATTTGCACAAACAAGTCCGTGCGAAATTAGCGCCACTTTTATAATTGAGGGCGAAATAGACAGGTACAGGTACGGCCGAACTCCAATATTTAATTGCCGTTTATCGCACCCATAAAGCTTGATTTTGATAACGATCTCCTGTCCCTTTCCGACTGGCTATAGCTCTCTATAGTTCTCCATCGAGGGGGTCTGTCTGGGAAAATTAACGGTGGGGCGTTGAATTTCACAAGACCCCAGACGACCGGGGGATGTCTCTCGCACTCTCTTCTCTTCTGAGAGGGGTTCTCCCTCTTCCCCTGCTCAACGCGTGCCAAAGAGAGTGAAACTGATAAGATTAATTGACGGGCTGGGGGTTCTCCTCCTTGGCGAGAGTCAGGGTGACTGATTGGAGAGTCAAGTTCACCTGGCGACTGGTTCGACGACATGCTCGAGCACGTTTTGGTTTGATAAGACGCATTCCCGGCGAGCTTTCAAGCCACATGTCCTTAACTTGCATCGCGACTGCTTACGCAAATCGATGGATGTACCGTTATTATGCAACATCAGTCCGAACCAGCCATCAACCCCAACCACCCTCCGAGCAGCTGCGACAACTGCGTCAGTGTCGTAAAACTTTCTCACGTAAGTCAAAGCCCGCCCGACAGTACCGCTATCTTGTCAGTACCGGAGATCTCGGCTTATCCTTTGTGCCATTGCAGTGCCCAGCCCCAGAACCCGCCCCAATATCCAGATATCTGGTGTATAAATACGAGTTTATGATGGCGTAAAAAATGATTTTTAACGATCTTTGCTGGGCATAATGAAGTTATCGCATGATCGCCGATCGTCCAAACAAAACATTCAAACAAAACAGTCGTACATTGGGAGATCGGATGCTCACGCCCACTATCTGGACAGGAGCCAATGGTGTCTATAATTATGCTTGCTATCAATGACGAAGGCGGCTGTCTTGTGACGTCAATATCACATGGTTCCCTTTCTTTCGGGCGATAAAATTAGACGTATTTTGGGGAACAATTTGGGTAGAAGCAGAGCGATAGTGATTCTTGACGACCTATTTGGGGTTTTTTTGAAGAAATATTCGACGAAACTTGACTTCCAGACGTCAGTCTAAATGGCTTCCCAAAAATATAAGCTTTTTCGAGATAATGACTCCGGAAGGAGTAATAAATTGCACAATATGGTAAAAAGACCTCAAAATTAAATGCAAATATTTATAATTACGTATACAAATCGAATTTGAAATATTCTAAGCTCACAATACAATATCCTTGGTATCGACTTTCACTTTGTTGCCATAATTGTTATATCACTTGTGTAAACAAAGTTATTATAAAACATATTTTGTTTTTTTTTTTTTTTTCAGGCTCATGGCAACCAGAACCTGGTCTGTATTGGGGACCATAAGAAATTATCGCAAAACGTGATAATCGCCAACATGTGACTATCATATCACGTTTTTTGGGTTCATAATCGTGCCTTAATTTATGTGGCATAGCAACAAGCTTGTTTATCATGGCCCTTACCACCAATTTAAGTTATTGAGGAATAAAAAAACAAAACTATTTGCCATATTTGCCATATGGCGGGCCGCAAACACCAATATCCGCCGTAATCAGGCCCCAGCAGAGGTCACGGTTTCTGGGAATGAAGGTAATAATAAACTTGAGAGCTAAAAATAAAAAAAAGAAACAAGAAATGGATAATCAAAAATGGCAAATTGCTTTATCTTTATCTTATCAGTTACGTAGTCGAAATGACTTCTGGGTGGCGGGGCCCAAAACAAACTCAAGGTCCGCCAAAACAGACTACTCAAACCCGGCAGGGAGACCCACTTTCACGTCGATAAGTGGGTCTGGGGGTCTTATCTTAGTCGCATGAGTATAGTAAATGCCTGGTTTGAGGAGTGCTTAGGGTACAACATGGCTTATAGTAAACTACTATAGCTACCAGCTGAAATCGGTTAGCAACCTGTCGTGGTGAGTGATGAGGCTGGTGCCTTTGTCATTTTTATCGTCTGCGGCGCATTAACTTCGACCCAAAAATAAACTGAAATTTAAAAATAAACTCCCGCCCGCTAAAAATATAAGCAAAGCCAACAATAACAAATATTCTGCATAAATATCAAAGCAAATAATTGTCGGAAAATTTGTATCAGCACAACCTGTTTGTTTTTGGCTTCAGCTTTTTTTTTCGCACGGCTCTTTGTGGTAGTGGTATCATAGTATTGTTATCAGAAGTTCCAAGGAAAAATAAAATGCGACTGGGCCGAAAGTGCTTTTGTTTGCCTGCCACTTGATGGCCTGTTGGGGGGAACTACACACCCGACTGACATTTCCTTTTATGGTCAAGATAGGTAACCGTATATGCGATAAGTATTTATGATCCGGTAGTAAAATTTTTAAACAATCGTGATTACGATTGCAATTCTAACTAAGTGATATTTGTCAAAATGCAATAAAATGGTGAAAGTCGGAATTTGTGTTGTTTATTTTCTTAAAACCTAAAATATTAATATGATTCAATAATGTTTCATTCCTAAATTCTATAACTATGTACTTTGAATACCCATTTAGCTGATGGAATCCCCGAGTTGCTTTATTTATTTGTTAAAGATTGAAAGAATCTCGCCCCCAGGTGGCAGAAATGTTTGAAATATTTTCAATTTCGAGGAACTGGAATTGAAAATGTGTTTTTGGCCATTCACTTCCCAGTGTATTGTTCCATTGTGGGGGCTGCTCGGCCGGTCCAATAATGTAAACAAAGTCATATTTGCTTGAATTTGAACGTAAAATTCGCACATTGTAGGTCCAAACGTAAACTGCGCACTTGCCACAACATGGAATGGCCCAAATCCCGCCGGACAAGGCCAAATGGATGGTTTTATCAACGACCGGAGAGTAACCCCATTGTTTGGACCTGTCTAGCCGCAGTAAACCTCCGAGTTGCATCAGCCATATCACTTCAATCAAAGGGATTGATTCGATTGGCGTTTGATAAGCGGGATGGTGGGTGGGTGCGTGAGTGGATCAGAAATAAACTCCCTCGTGGCACGAATAATCATGTGAGCTTACCGGTTCCGCACCGGCTGATTCATTTGGAATAGACTTTGGACCCACACAGAAGTCTGTGTACTTTTTCCAAATGGCTGTGACAAATCTGGTGAAGTGTATGGTATCATGTGTCTCTGCATCCGCTCCACCAGTGCACTAGATATCAGATGTTACTCTCCGGCAAACGTGGTACTTGTGTAGAACATCTTCGGTTTCACATTAGTCACTTTCCCCTGACACGCTTTACATTACTCATACGCCACGTAATCGCTAGCGTAGTCTTATCACCGACAGGTGAATGGAGTGGGGGGCGGGGGCCGGAACGGGAGGCCATTTCATCAATTTCAGCGCCGATTAACGGTGCTTAGCGATCGGTTAGATTTGGGATAGGTCAGTGAGGAGCCGGCGGACGCTTGTGGACGCTAAGTGGATTGCGTTCCGAATAAATTTGTCGAGCATTTGTGTATGGAGATTTGTGTAACGGGCCTATGGCTATCAAGTTGCATATTTATTCCTGATCAGGGTCAATAGCGGAGCTTGTGTGACACCATTTGAGATAAGATTTGCAGCATTTGGTTTGCAGATCTTCAAGACGATAGGTAGCGTTATATATCTTAACAGTTATACTCTGAAAATGGTTCTAATAGGAATATTTTTATCAAAATGAGCTCAAGGATTTCTACAATGATTTATCAACATATGTAAGCTGCAATTTTTATTTAATATATCATCTAAAAAGGGTATCCCTTAGCTGGAATGATCTTCTATAAAGACCAACAACTTGTTATTTTTTCGTCAAGTGCTAAAGAACGGATCCCATAGATACGAATCGAATCAGAATCGAATCAGATAACATCTTCATCTGTGCCAGTTTGCGGCGCATTTATTTGCATTTTATGCGCATTCTGATCGAACCGACAATCTGGCGACTCCGAATTAGCATCAGAACGTTCTATAACTGTAAAGTCAAGAAAGCCATTTCCTTTGTTCCACCCCCTTGGGGACTCACACCCCCCCATCCACCCACCCAATAATGCAGCACGGTTTTTGTTTTTTTTTTGCGTTGTTTCTCAACTGAATGCATTTTTTAATCGGAGATTCGGACTGAATCGCTTAATCTACACAGGTGTACGAGTATGCGTATGAGTGGGTGCTTGAGTGACTTGAATGGGTGTGAAACTGAGTGCGATTATGAGTGTGGTTGTGATTGTGAGTGTTGGTCTAACCTAAGGCAATGCAAGTGATTCGAATAAGGGGGGGGGTTCGTTTTCTTAATGCTGGCAGGGTTCGGGGTTCCATGGGTTCTTTAGGTTGGCCAGGCGCAGCTGCTCCAGGGCGATCTCGTGGGCTCGGAAATGCTCCCTGGTGGCCTTATCCAGATCGCTCTCTGAAGTCAAGCTGGTACCGGTGGTGGAGGCGGTAGCAGAGGCGGTGGACACGTCCTGCTTCAGCTTGGTAAGGATGGGCAAGGGCAGAGGCTGCAGTACCTGTGGCTCAGAGGTGTAGCGAACCAGGAAGGGATTCGGAGTCTTTCCGGCAAACACTAAAGCCGGGTTGCTGATGGGTGCTTCACCGGTCTCGATGCTACTGGGCTGGTTGGTCTGAATGCGGAGGAAGAAGCCGTTCTGCACCTGCTGCTGCTGGGTAACGATGTTGGATTGGGGCTGAGACTGGGGCTGCGACTGGGCCTGGCTGGAGATAATCTTGAACTGCTCAGCCTTGCGCAGGTACTCCGGGATGCTCGTCTCATAGGTGGTGCTGATTTCCTGCTTCTCGGCTAGGCGTTCGCTTTCCAGCCGCAGGCGATCCTCCTGCTCGATCTTGAGACGCTCGGCTTCCAGCAGACGGGTTTCCTCGCGAAGACGATCCGCTTCCATTTGGCGCTCCAGCTCGGCCTCCTTCTCCTCCCTCTTGCGCTGCTCCAGCTCCATCAGGCGCTCGTTCTCGCGCTCTCGCTCCTCCAGGAGGATCATGTCGGAAATGTCGGCCACCTTGTCCTCGGCCTGTAACTTGGCCTGGTTTAGAAGCAGCAGATGCTGCTCACGGGCCAGCTTGACCTCAGGGGTTTCCTGGATGGGCTGAGGTCCTGGCACCTGGATAAAGGTGGTCTTAACAATGGCCTGGGGGGCGAAGGGCGCAATGGGAGCGGTGGGGATAAGTGGCTGTTGCTGAATGTCGATGGGCTGACGCAGAATGGCTTCGTTGAACTGCTTAAGATGCTCCTCTCGAGCCCGCTTCACCTCAGGAGTTTCCTCAATGGGCTGCGGGGCCAGCTGACCCTCAAAGGAAATGGCCTGGGAGCGGGTTGGCGTTATCTTCAGAAGGTGCTCCTCGGGGGTCGTGGGCTGACGCAGCAGCGCCTCGTTGAACTGCTTGAGGTGCTCCTCGCGGGCTTTCTTGACTTCCGGGGTTTCTTCAATCGGCTGCGGAGCCTGCTGACCCTCGAAGGAGCTGGTCTTAAAGATGGGTTGAGGTGGAGCAATCGGCTGGTTTTCGAAGGTGGTCACTGTCTTGATAATTGGCTGGGGCTGAATGGCTTGCGGCTGCTGGATTCCAGGAGTGGTCTTCAGAATCGGGGTTTCCGGGGCGGGCTGTCGCAGTAGGGCCTCGTTGAACTGCTTAAGATGCTCCTCACGAGCTCGCTTCACTTCGGGGGTTTCCTCAATGGGTTGCGGAGCTTGCTGACCCTCAAAGGTACCAGTTTGTGTCTTGATGAGCGTTTGAGTCACGGGGACTGTCTTTACAATTGGGGTTTCCGGAGCCGGTTGGCGCAGCAAGGCCGCATTGAACTGCTTGAGGTGCTCCTGGCGAGCCAGTTTCACCTCTAGGGTCTCCTCGACAGGTTGAAGGGCCGGCTGTGGTGCCGTCTTGATCAGCAAGTTGCCCTGGGTGGCGGTGAACTGTCCGTAGGAGTGGGTCTGAGGAGTTTCAATGGGCTTAGCCACCTGTGGGGTGGAGGTCTTAACCAGGATCGACTGCTCCGGCTGGCCGTAGATCACCGGAATCTCTTGGGCTTTTGTTTGCAGCTGCTGAGCCTGCTCGGCACGCAGAACCTCCAGCCTGGCCTCGTTCCAGATGCGCAGCTGTTCGTCCCGAGCCTTTTGTACTTCCGGACTCAGTCCAGGAACGGCTTCGAAGGCGGCGAACTTGACAATCTGCTCCAGGGGCTCGAACTGGGCTAGCATGCTGGAGGACGGCTTCTGTCCCTGGGCCCTTAAACGATCCAATTCCTGGCGCAAGACCTGATAGCGCTGCTCACACCATGCCCGGAACAGAGCAATGTCCTGGCTCTCATGCTCGAATCCAGCTCGGGTCAAAGTGGAGGTGGCCAAGTCGCGAATTCCGTTAAGAGGTTCCGGGTAGTTGTACGCCAGCAGTCGCTCTGCTCCCGTGCCGTCGTAGTAGCGCACGTAGCCCTGGGCCAGACCACTCACCACCGGGAACTCTCCTCGGGCCGGGGAGTAGGCCACCAGCTGGGGATGCGGCTGCGGAAGGGTTCGCACCACCGAGAAAGCTCCAACGGAGCCCAGGGCCAACAGGCCTATCACGAACAGGCGCATCTTGCTCTGATTGGAGGGTTACTTGGAGTTGGGCTAGTAGTTGGTAGCGACTAGTAGGACTTCTGGAACTCGGTGCTCCAAGACTTCGCTACAACTTCGACTACTGCTGCTGGGAGACTGTTGCGGTTGGAAGCCTTTGGCGAGGGCTTTTATACCCGCGTCCAGGCGAGTGGAAAAGAACCGCAATTGGAAGAAGCGGTTGTGGATGTCCTTGAGCCCTGCAGGATGTGTCAATAAATATTCTGTTGCCCTAGGTCGGCCGACACGCAAGCCGAGGTTCTTTATCTCGAATTTAATTGGCCACAGGCTTCTGGCCTGCCCCTCAGCCTGCTGCTCGCCGGGAATCGGGATGGGGCGGGACGGGACGGGACTGGACCAGCCTTCGCTTGGCTTCTTCCGTTATGCTCCAAGGTTAAGCCTGGTTTTATTTTTAGCCCGGCTGCTGGGAATTTATGGCCCTTGCCCTTTCCTTTGCCATTGCCCGAACCGAGAGGAGGAGTGAAGGGATCGCAACCCATGGAAGACTATCGATTGATCAATGACAGGCCCTACGAGCCGCGTGATTATTCAAATTTGTCAAAAGCCTCATTGCTCGCACTTAGCCGCCTGGGATCTTCCTGTCTGCGATATTCTGGATACCAAATATGGCCAGGAGGAGTTAATTTATATTTAGTCGCTGGCATTTTTGTACAGTCGCCGTCCAGTCGCGCCTGTATATGGCTTTCAGGGGAGGATGCGGCCAGGAAGGGAGCGAAATAATACCCCGACTCAGTCACTCGATATGGCTGTGGGTGCCCCTTCTTTTCAGCTGCTTCCTTCAACCGGTTTGGCGATCTGACCGCGTCTCAATAAATTCAAGTTAATTCCAGTCGGCGCCGTTATATGGCCAATCCAAGTCCCCAGAGGGAGGCAAACAGGCATTAAGGTTAAACAGTGTCAATCAGGCAAATTATATCATTCCATGCCGGCTTTGTATTTCCATACATTCCTGTGGCTTTCCGCACCACCTTTTTTTTATTTAAATAAATTTACACAAAAATAAATGATAAAAGAAGGCTCGATTCTGAGGAGAAGGGACTTCAACTAGCATTCCATACAATAAAATGTGTATATACATATATATATATTGAAGTATTCGATATCTGAGATGCTGAATCATATCAGATCGGTCACTTCAAACAATTCAAATATATCCCAAACTGAGTGAGGAAAGTAACCTGTTTAGTGTCGACTTTATTCAGTGACTTTGTTTAACACTTTTCAACAGAAGTTTTAAACTTAAAATGCTACTAAAATATATAAATTAATAGAAAAAATACCCTATTTCCATTTTTAGCAATCACATGCAACATGACTTGGTTGGAATCTTCCAACTCATCAGAACACTTTCTTATCTTCCAACTGCTGATTATTTTCTTGGCGGTGGCTATTTCCATTCGAGAGAAAATCATTCATTAGCCACATGCCGCCCCAATTTTTTTGCTCCAATAATCATTAGACTCGAAATCAAGATTTTCACAGACGATTCACCTTGTCCGATTTTTAAGGTTTTCATATTTCGCACTCTTAGGTAATGGACCCACCTGAAAAATCACACGTAAGACTTGTCAGAAGGTGGTCACAACTTTCCCAAGCCGAAGTATTTCGTAACATTCCTATTGAATTGAGTGCTTTATGCCTTGTTGCCATGCGAATCGGATCCATCTATTATAGATTTCTTGAACTGACCACAGTCACGTTGGATCTTTCGCTCATGTGACGTAGATGATGCTGAAGATTCTTCTGGTGCGAAATTTTCTCTTTTTCTTTTATGTTTTTTTTTGGGGATAGGGTGAAGATGTGAGCGCGTGCGTTAGGAAGCAATTGATTCTTTAATGATTTTGTTGTCCGCCAGCTTGATATCAATAATTGGAAACGGAGGCACGTCCGCGTTAATTAAAGCAGACCAAAGTGCTTACTGCTGGCTATCCACGTCGCAGCTTATCTTATCTCTTCTCTCGGAAACACCGATTTAGCATATGAATTTTCGCCAAACACGAATCGGTGGCGTATACGCAATCTGTGAACCCTGCACACATCAGGTGTTAAATGGCATTTGATTAGCGCGTCCCGATGGTTGATTAAGATGTCTGAAAATGGTTCTCCATCTCATCACGCCATTCGTGCCCAAAGATCTCCATCATTTTCCGGATCTCACCTGCCGCCAGATCTCTTGTGAGCCAAACATGACAAATACAGCTGAACCGTTAGGCGAGGCAGGGCAAAACCAAACATTATGGCCAACAAACGCTCTTGAACCGAAGTTCCGCTGAAAATTCCAATACCTTAATATCAAGCTTTAAATGATGTCTTTGGACGGGTTATTCGCGGTGCACGCTGGTGCCATCACGTGCGAATAGCTGCTACAAAATGCCCCACGACGTCATTGCAGCTGCGTGCGAATTTAAATTAATTTAACATCGAAAACCCAATAACGAACCAATCGAGGAATGGCCAGCTGAATGAACTACGTTTTTGCCAGTTTTGTATTTTTTTATTCATTAACAGCGTCAGCAAAAATGTATATATTTTTCAAAAGTAAATATTTTGACGATTCAAAGAAGGAAAAGTAAATAAGTATCTACAACTTAAAAGCCAAATAACATAGAGTGGATTAAAAAAAACTTCGGTAACCCAATCTTTTGGGGAAATAAGCTTCTTAATGTTACTTCTGGCATACTTCTTCAATGAATCAATAAATAAATCTTTGAAATTACCCAAATGCTTTTCCACATAATTCGATGCGAAATCAAAGTGTGGAACAAACATCAAGGCCACTTATTTTCAACCCAAAATATTCTTTTTTTAAACTTTTGTCTTCGATTTGGAGTGGCCGCCTTTGACGTCACATGGCCCCAGAAAGAGAAACTCGTTTTTTTTGGGAACTTCCCGCACTCTCAGTTCCGTTTGAGGGGCCAAATACTAGACAGCAATTATGCGTGAAATAAAAACATCAATTAGAGCGCCAACGCAATGACCTACAGTGGTCAGTTTGCAGTGGCCAGTGGCCACTCGTAAAAACGCCAACTAACCCGGCTAACAATCGATAAACCTCAAACGCCGACATCCGTTAATTAATTTGCATTAGTAATTAAGGCCAACTGCTGGCGATTTTGGGCGTTCTATCATCTACGGTTGAATTGAAATTGAAATTGAGCTGTTAAGTAATCGCCTCCAACAAACAGTAGCTACTTTGGCTGTCAGCTTTAAGCCACGTTAAGCACTTGATTTGTGCACAAAAGACCTCAAATAATATTGAAGCCATTTTTCAAGTCTAAGCCATGGAAAAATGTTTGGAAAATTGTTAAGATTGATTTTTTTTAATGCACTTCCAAGTGTCACGCAACGCAAACATGAACAAATTCTTTATGATTTGTTTTGACTGGCAAATAGCCAAGCTTGGTTTAATGTTTTTCACAATTAATTGGCCTAATCATGTTTGTGGCCCGTGACTTGGGGATTTTATTATTTGTTGGTAAACAACAAACTGGAATAAAAAATCGTCAATAATTCCAAAACGATGCCTGAAGCTTATATTAGATATTCAACAGCCGTAGTTTACTACTGGTCTGAGTTTTTTAGCTTAAAAGTTTCAAGTCTTTATATTGGTAGCTTAGATAAGTATGTAGTTTGTTTCTTACCCAAACATATAATGGCCTATTTTCAACACATTTTAGACCATATTTCTATAAGTTTTCAGCTTACATGGAAATGAAGTACATATTTTTAATCAGGGCTTTAGGCTGCTTTAATATTTATCAAAAATTTTGGGATTTTTGACAAAAAATATTTTTACCGATTTTTGGCCAAAATCATGATGTTACCCCTTTGAAAATTTGCAAAAAATTGGTCAATAATTTAGTTGCCAGTTTTTAACGTCAGTTGATAGTACTTGGAAAGCCAAGTTTGGGAAGGTATAACATTCGTAAACTGCACAATTATTTTTCAAGTTATGTTGAAATTCGTAAAAAAAAAATGTAATTTTTTGAAGCTCCTAATAGGATGATTTGTGGAAACTTTTCAACCACTTTTATTTGAATATTTTAGCCATTACTTTTCCGATTTCAAGAAGAAGTGCCATTTATGAATGAGGAATTTAATCTCCTTTGATCTGCATCAAAAGCTTGGAAGTTATGAAGAAAAAAAAATTTCACCAAGTTTTGGCCAAAATCATGATGTTACCCCTTTGAAAATTTTCCAAAATCGGGTCGAATTTTCGATGAATAGATTTTAATTGAGAATGATAATACTCGAATAGAGAAGATCGGGAAGGTATACCATTTGGCGATCGTCCAAGTATTACGCAAGTTATGAAGATTTCCCTTCAAATAATGGAGTTCATTTCTCACATTATCCTTTTGTACATTTTTGTCTAATTTTGTAGCAGAATCTTATGAATGATTTCCATTTTTTTAATAAATTTTCGTTTTAAGAAAGATCCTATATTTGGTCTAAAATAGTTCTCAAAGTGATGGCCAAAAAGATGGGTCTTGCACTCCGTTGGAAAAATTGTATAACCCCCTGCTATGAGAGTATAATATTTAATTACTTTAAAAATAAATATAAAGAGATGATAATGCTCCAGAATAAACTTACTACTTGAATTTGAATAAAAATGTTTTTTGAATCACGTGTCGGATGTCACTGTTTAAAGTTTAAGCTGGCCGGACTGAAATTGTAAAACAAAAAACATCTGGCTGGGTGATAATTGATGATGTGCGGAATATGACACTGTTAACAGAGGCCCCCCAAAAAAAAGTACGTGGTGAACGACCTGGGGGCAATCAAAATAAATGTAAGTCAATTCCTGACAAACAGTACTGACGCACTTTTGGCGACAGTTTTGAAACGGGGCTGCTGAAACTGTGAGTGGTGGATTCTGGCCGCTGCACCAGTGGATGCAAAACTGGATAGTATGGCGGGCAAGAGCTAGAGGTTCGGTTCTGGTTCTGGTTTGTTTAAAACATTTATTTCTCGGATTTTTATTTACCATTAAATTTAAACAATATTCAATGTTGTTAAGGGCAAAGGTGTGAATAGGAGTGGGGTGGGTGGGGCATTGTTGGGGAA